CGCAACCTTATGCTTAGGCGCACTTCATATGGAGAATCATGCAGCCATGGGGGTAGCCAAATCTGCAACATCTTCATTTCAAACACGCTGTGTTTCGAGTCTTGAGCTCTTGTCTCTGGTCGGATCTTGCACATGCTCCACTTCCCGTCTGGGTGTGTCTGATGCACTCTATCGTCAGCTTCTTACATATACCCTGGGTTTGAGATCCTCTAGAATTTGCAGCTACGGCAGGTCGTTTGATGTCGGCAGTAATCGGCCACCTCAAGCATCTTAGAGAACACCAAATTGGAGAAGATGCAACAGAAGAGCAGGAAGTCACAAATTGAAGACTCCAGCAAGTCACAAATTGGCCCGACAGCTCACCTGACTTCTGTGACCATGGCAGCCGTCACCTCCTTCCCCTTCGGATATGTCTTGTGCGTTCCCCTTCCGTGCAGAAACTTGAGGGACTTGTACAGTCGCCGTAGCCTCCGCATGCAGTACTGCCTGCAGAATGTATGGTGATCAACGAATGAGAGACTCTTGATGTGCTTAAGTCAAGAGGCATGCAATGTTGAGCTGGCTGGAAGTAGACCTTAGTGCAGGCAATTTCCCAAGGTATAGCTGTTTCAGCAGCTCTTGCGGTGTTCACCAAACCTGATGGGCGCCGCACTAACACCGCAGGTTGACAAACCCAGGCCAATCCCTTTTAAGGAAGAGCCAGAAGACAAATTGGTGCAGAGAAGCAATCTACAGGTTTCATTCTTCATTGAGGTGCTTGGATGGTCCCACTAGTCAAAATTCTACGTCAGTTCGCTTGCACAGGTTTGAGCGGCTGCCGCCTAGCATTGGCCTTCCTCTTTTAATCTGGCGGGGCCATGAGGTTCTCCCAAAGAAGATTGAAAAAGCACCGATGAACATGCATCCATGGATGAAAATGCTGCCAATACGCAGATCAGCGGAGCCATAAAGATTTGTAAAATCGCACCTGTAGCGCTGGTAGTCCTTATGACGCAGCCCGTGCTGCTTCTGCGCCACCTTGATGAGCTGGAGAACTGCGAAGTAACATGGCACTCTTGTTCAAAACCGAGTCAGGCCACTCATTGTTGGTGCTTCGCTGTGCCACCACTAAGATATTCAATTTTGCACTGCCTTCACTCCAAATAGTCTCTGCTCCATTATTGGGATTTTATAATGGGAGATGGCCGCTTGTCAAAAATAGAGGGTCACATTAGCGCACTGTCTATCTCTGATTATTCTCTGTTCTGCATACAAGACTTGGATATTCTAGACAAAAAATCGTCGCTCAGACAGTGCACGCGCAAGAAAATGTTTGTGACAATCAAGCTTGCATTCTCAACTGAAATAAGGCATCTGCACAGGGCCACCATTACCAAAATTGCTGCCAAACTCATACCGCCACAAAGCACAATACTGTGGCGCCAGTTGCAATGTTCTGAACAACGGAAAGCTGTCATGTAGCAATAAAAATGTTGCAAAATGCAGGTCCGACACCGCTTTATGTTTGAGATCGCCTGCACTTTGCCCCAAGACATCCTCCGAACTCCACAGGTGAATGCGCACTTACTGCCGAAGGAGATCGGCGGAAGAGATTTCTCCTCTGCATTGTCCGTGCTTTGCTCGTCAACCTCCATTGCTTCAGCGGACGCCATGAAGAAAATTCACTTACAGCAGCTTCTGATAGCACTGGCGCAATTTGACCAATCAAAGCCACCGACGTGCAAATAACACTTAATGAGGCGAGATGGATGAAATTACGAAGCGCCTCAGATGCAATCGCGTCTCTGGCCTCCTGAAAAGCACTGCTCTTGTATAAGATCAAAAGAGGCTTCCGAGAGCATCACGCTCTCAATCGCAGTAAGCTGGGCTTTGATTCAAACTTCTATGAACAAGATTGAAGACGCCCTAGCGGTCTCTGCAAACAGCACAGCTGCACGCTTTTCAGAATGTACAATCGACTTCACCTTTGCTTTTTGATCGAGCACAGGTGCTTCATATGACGTCTTCATTTCTCACATACGGGCCCAGGAAACGGGATCAAAGTCGCCTTCACTTGCGGTCACAGAGTCTACTATATCATTCGTACCAGACAAGCCAAACAAATTGCATCAGAGTGGCAACCGCTTATGAGTTCGGCTTCGCATAAATCAGCCATGAAGCAATTTATCCTGCCAAGCCGCCAGAAGATCCTGATAAGGAAGAAGAAGGGATAGCCTGAGCTAGCTGAACCAGCGAACCTGAAGCCTCGTGCAATGAAGAGGAGAGTTGAAACGGCCTTGAGCTGCTCAAGCCAGTGTTCGCCACAATCTGCTGGCACCAGCGCTTGAACGTGCCTCATAATTGAAATTTCAAGTTGCTCGAGGGCATACCACCATACCACCATACCACTTTGCGCTCTAAGAGCGACGCCTGGAAAAGGGCGTTAGAAAACGGCGCACGAAATGAAGGTAAGTTTGATCGCTTACGCAGTGATTTCTTCAATCAAATGTCTTCTACTCTGCTCAAGCTCCTTGCCTCAAGCTCCTTGCCACAGTTGGCCTAAATGACATTGGCAGAGGGGTGTCTGCCTAGATGCATATCGTACGGATGCTTTGAAGGAAAGGGACACCACAGCCGAAGGATTATAGTACACATCTCGACGATGAGTTCGCTGGTTCGCTTCTCCTTCTTGGAAGTTATTTTGCACCCCTTGCTTTTATAATCTGGTGGTGGCACTCGCTACTCAGCCAGATCGAGTCGTGCTGACGAGCTTCTGATAGCAAAGCGCAGTGCTACTTTCTCCAGTGTCACCACTGAAACTGCAAAGCTGACTCAGTCAGACAAAGCTTTTACGCCCTTGCTATGGAGGGGTGTGGGGCAGGGGGAAGTGACACTTGGCCGGTGGATGGTATATTTATGCCCACTTTGTTTGTATTGTCTGGGACTACATTCCACGAAGGATTCGCAATTTGGTCTAAGTTCTTCATAAACCAATATGATGTAGACCACAATTGTTCAATCAGCCACAAACTTTTGAAATAGGCCCCAGAATCCCTTTGATCGTGAATTGTGTGTGAGTTGCTGCGCCACACCAATTGCTTCAGATTTTCCCCCCTTGTCTAGAAAGGCCGTTTTGCAGAATCCTTGAGCCATTTGAAATGGGCTTGGAAGCATCGACGAGTGGAAGTGGGCAAAGTGTCAACAGCACTTATTTTCAGGTTGACGTTGAGACTCCCGCAGTTCATCTCAAACATACATCCATACTGGCCCTAACATCTGTGTTGGGAGAAGCCCTCTCTCTTTCATGGAACGCATTTGATTAATACTCAAACTGCTCTCCTTAGATCATGTTGGTCAGAGTCAGATCAATATGTATGATCGTTCGGTCACAACGATTAGTCCTAATGCAAAATGCTTCATATCCTCCCGCAGATCGCAGTGGAAGGATGTGCCCATGGAGACCTTGACAACATCTACGCAACACTGCAGCATCTAGAACGGGTCCAGAACACCAAGATCGACCTTCTTATCTGTTGCGGCGACTTTCAGGTATACTTTTGGCCCAATCAAAATGCCCCATTTAATATGATCTTCGTGCCCCAGTCAACATGATCTTAAGAAACCAAACGTGTGGGACAAAGTGGTCGTTTGCTGCTTGAAGACAGGAACTCCATTGGGACTACCTGGCTTGGACGTCTTGGAGCACAGATTGTCGATGAAAGCAGCGCTGTGACTTGAAAAAATCGCTCCAGATGAGAGCTCTTTAGCCTGCACTCTTCTTTCAGTGCCGTCCTTAATGCACAGCCTGTTCGGTGCGCAGGCTGAAACTGTCAGCATCTTGAGGCTACTTTTGTAAGAGTTGAGCTTATAACGATAGCGCTCTGAAGATCGGAGCACATGACATTTATGATGATAAGTTCCTGAGACAACCAACCCTCAGTGTGTGCTTCCAGGTACTTGCATTCAAAACCAGAAGACCTGAAGTCGAGGAAGGCTTGCTATAAGACAGGAGCACAATGAAACGAGGATGCCAACATTTCAATGACAATGACGAACGTCGTCTTTGCAGGCGGTTCGCAATGAGCAGGACCTGGAGTCCCTGGCGTGCCCGCCCAAGTTCCGGGCAATGAACACGTTCTGGAAGTACTACTCGGGCGCGGAGAAGGTGCCCATTCCCACGGTCTTTGTCGGCGGAAACCACGAGGCGTCCAACTATCTCTGGGAGCTGTGAGTGTGAATTGGCTCATTTCTGGAGAGAATGTGCCTGATCTGCATAGTGCTGAACTTCGGACCCGGCTTTGTAACCTTTGTTTTAGTTGTGTGCGACAATCCGAGCTCAATCCTCAGATGATCAGCCCTTTGTGATGAAAGATCTTGTATGAGAAGAGCCCCTGGCGACTTTCATCCAGGCACTCCGGCCTAGAACGTCAAAACGTCCGGACCTCGTCTAAGTAGTAACCGAGTCGTCACCTTTGCAACCCTTTGTAACCCACGCAGCTCTGGAACTCCTACGGCGGGTCGCCTTCGAGTCAGCCTAATTCAGTCATAATCTTTTCGAGCCCAGCCTCTAAGCTCTTCTTGACTCCTCACTTGTCACCAACAGTTACGGCGCTCCATGTTCCCCCAGCATATTCAAGCCGGCTCGACTCCGTCCCTAACCTTTCTTAACCCACTCCTAACCTACTTCGCGAACCTCCGCACAGTTACTACGGCGGTTGGGCCGCTCCCGACATCTTCTTCCTCGGCTTCGCGGGCGTGGTCACCTTCGGCGGCATCCGCATCGGCGGGCTGTCCGGCATCTTCAAGCACCACGATTTTCGGACGGGGCATTACGAGCGTCCGCCGTACAATCCGTCCGACATGAAGTCGGTGTACCATGTCAGAGAGTATGAGGTGCATAAGCTGAAGCGGATACGGGAGCCGTTGGACGTGTTCGTGTCGCACGACTGGCCGCGGGGGATCGCGAACTACGGGGACAAGGAGGGGTTGCTGCGATACAAGCCTTATTTTAGACAAGAGGTGAGACTTTCGTAATCTAATGAAGTTCAGTAGTAGTAGTCATTGGTAGAACTTGAGATGGCTTCTGGCATCAAGACGAGCGTTTCTGTGTTAATCTGGCGCTTTTGAAGACACGGCATTAGCTTCGATCCTAAACATTCCTTTAAATCATTGCTGACGGCGTCAAAGGGAGGTAGTTTCCTTGTCAGACGTGCCTTGCGGGGGTTTGAAAGACCCCAAAGGCTCTTGTTTTGCAGACCCTTGGCCATTCATTTGTCTTGCTGAAATAAACCCAGGGCCGTTTCCACAGGTAGAGAGCAACACGCTCGGAAGTCCCCCCGGGGAGGAGCTCTTGCACGCGCTGCAGCCCACGTACTGGTTCGCCGCCCACCTCCACTGCAAGTTCGCCGCTCTAGTTCCCCACAAGAACGGCCAATCGACGCGCTTCCTCGCGCTCGACAAACCGCTCCCTAACCACCGCTTCCTTCAGGCAAGGATATCATCCATGTCCATATCCCTCGCCCTTTTAGTTCAGTTTGACGTTCGATCTGTCTAACTCCAAGAGGGTGAAGCGTTCCGAAAGAGGCACCCGTAGCTTCAGAAACTTATTTGTCGGGTTCGAAGGCGCCTAGGGGTTTCGTAGGGTAGGATGCATTCGGAATCACAGGACCGTTCTGACCAGATTTTCAACGAGAAGCTGCGGTCAGACCTGTAAATCTCTAGCAACATCTCCGAATCAGCCAGGTCAGTCGAATTCAAGCTCCCCTAACCCGGGGAAGCTGAGAATGAACGTGTTTGACAAACTTACCTTCACACACGACTCAGCCTAAGTGGGCGTACTCAGATGCGTCTGAAATGACGTCAGAGAGTCACTTCGACAACCAGGAGACTGTTTGCGGGTCGCTTAGAATCCCACTGTAACCTTTTCGTCGTGGCGACGCTCAAGCCCCAGGTTGTGCTGCCCCGTCGTTGCGTGCTGACTCAGCCGTTACGCCCTTTTCAAGAAATAAGCTCATGGGTTTTCAAACGATTGCTGCAGATTATCGACGTCGAAACGAAAGGCCCGCTCCGCTTCGAGTACGACCCCGAATGGCTGGCGATCACGAGGTCGTACGACGCACATTTGCCGCTGAGTAAAGCCCCCTTCCGACCACCGTGAGTCTACACTGCTCTCCGACTTTGCGCGCCCCTCTTTCTCTGCCCGGAAGGTTTCTGTAACGCTGCAGAGCGGATAATTGGTCTAAATTGGTGAACGCCACCGAAGAAAGTTTGAGCGACGCACTCTTGGACCGCTTGGATGCAATGACCATGTTGCTTCCGCTCTTATATTTTTTTGAAGAGATTGCGTGTCCCTATGTTTCTGTTGATTGGGGTGTGGGTCAACTGAAACGGGCATGGCTTAATCCTCTATGAAAGAATCGTACTTGAAAGAGAAGAGAAGCGTATCCAATGGTTGACGAAGGTTTCTGCTGAATAATTTTGCTTTCGCATTAAACATTCTGTCCGAGCTTCGTGCCCACTCGTGGGTTGGCCTAGATTTGAAGTGACGTTCCTGGGTTGGTACAGAGAAACGGGTCGGATAAGACACGTCAGTACTGAGTATACGGTATTGAATTTAGATATGACCGTTGTCATGCTCCATAGTCACGCTTATTGGAGTGGATGATTCCCGTCTGCATCGGCGTGGGCTGCTCGTATGATCAAGGCCCCTACTCTGCTGCAGAGGGATCCCTCTGGCGAAACTCCGAAGACGCACACACAGTATCCATATTCTGCTGCAGGCGGCCCCCTTTAGACCTGACGGCATCCCGGAAATGGGTGGAGCGCACGCTAGAAACGCGGGGCCGGACTGTTCCGCTCAACTTCGAGGTGACGGCTCCGGTGCACGATCCGCTGAACCGGAGTCGGCATTTTGGGCCCGCAGGTGCGGCCGGTTATATCCAAGTTAGCACAGTGCTGCTTTTGAACCGCACCTAACCCGTGTCTGGCCTGCACGCCTGCGCTTTACCCAATTTTCGCCTGCGTTAACCTGCCTCTTACCTGCGTTTCACCGGGTTTCGCGTGCGTTAATCGGCTTCTTACCTGCATTGAATTCTCGTCCAACCTACTTCGTGGGTGCATCGAAACCGCGTTGTACCTGCTTCTGTATTGCTATTCTCCAGCCTGTGACTCAGGTTGTCGAGCGCCGTGTCTCTTTTAACCCGCTGGATTCTGCGGTATCTGCATCTCAAGTCGCCGACCACAGGACTGGATTGCTTCGTAGAAACCGCTCTTGACCAAGTTTGTGTCGGCCGCCTCTGGAGATGCTCAGATGTGCTTTGCGTGACTTTCAGCCCAATTGTCAACGTCAAAGCAATTGGAATCCTTCCCTGCACGACTGCAAAGAATTTTAAAATGCCTCCATAATCCTCGAGCCCCGTCAACAAGCTTTCAATGTCTTCCAATCTTTCCACCGTCCGTTCTGAATTCCGCCGCCCAACCTGCATTCGCTGGCAGGTCACCTTAGGAACCCCCAAACGGAAGCCTTTCTCCGGATGCTCGAGTTGCCCTACCGACTGGACCATGCGGCGCCCCCTTCTGGATTCCGAGAAACGAGCGTGGAGCCGCAACAAACAGGTGAGCATGGCTCGGGAACACTCTCTTGATACGAGTTACGCTCCCGTCGCACGCTTGTGATTCATTCTGCCGTAATTGATCCCCAGATGACGATGAAATAACGACTTTTTGGGTTCGAGCCGTCTCAAACGCGGTCAGCTTGCAAAGAACGCTCTTTCGGGCGCATCTCGTCTTGGTTTGTGGGCCGTTTCACAACGTGTCTCCAGCCTGTTTCTCCGCATTTTGGTTTTCTCTTACACTTCGCTTTTGCTTCTCGTCCAACCTCTAGCATCTCCTGTTAGCATCCCATCTTAGAGCATCTCTACTTAGCAGTATCATGTTTTCCAAATTTTCTTTCTTTTTCCCTCCAGGAGTCTCTACCGCCAATCCTGAGGAGATAGATCTAGATGACTTACCTGACGATGATGCACTAGACGACGATGGACTGCCCGATGACGTCGACGAGCTCGCTCAAAGTGTCCATACATGATTTACCGCCTAAACCTGGCTTCGGAAGCTTGTATTGATCCAAGTCTTGGACATACACAAGAACCAGATGCGTATTTGGCAATTTTCTGACTTGCATCTAAGTCCAATGTAGCGCAGTTGGCAACCCCATGACTCATGGTGCAATCAGTGTCTGGATGCAGTTTGCGTTGCGATCGATCCTACAGCAGCTACCTTTTGTATAGCCTTGTATGATGAGATTGGATCCTTTCTTAAGGTCCTTAGAAACGGTACATGATGCAGGATTTAACCGTCACACCGGGTCGGTTCCTTCTCTTTGAGTCTCCGACACGATGGACCGTCACGAGCATGTTGTGCTGGCTTAATACTACGATGCACGCATGAAGTTCGATGGTTGAATCGTTGTGCATGCGAAAATGACCTTGCAACTTGAAGCAAATTCGTATCCATTGCATGCGATCCCATGCATGTGCTGCAGGCTCTTTAAGGAATTCAACAAGGGCGCTATAAAGTGGCCGGCCACCACTCCTTGTGTTTGCGTACGCGTAGGCCGGCACACGTTCTAAAGCAGGTTTGGAATGTAAGTGCACTGAGTTCATCTGTCCTCACCGTCTGGCAAGCATGCTCAGATTCTCGGACAAACAATTGTTAAGTTGTCATCAAAAGTAGAACCTTTCATGCATACATATGTGGCCCGACATGACAAACATTGTTTCATACGGCATGCTCGTAACTGATAATTCAGTCAGTTGTGATGCATCAAGCATGCTGTCAGTATCCAGGTTTGTCCTACCTATGCGTTTCTCAAAAGGTGATGCTGAACGTGCAATTGACATGCTGTAAATCTGGCACTGGCACGCTGGACGCAAACGGAGATTGAAAGAATATTTACCGTGATCCGCTGGGACCGAAACTCGTCAAGGACGAAGCTGTCAAAACGTGGTACCATGAGGAGCGGGCACGTTGAAACAGAATCATTCGGATTACAGCTAGGCCGCAAAGCACATGCTCCCTGAGATGCACGTCTTCGACTTAATGCAAACGCGAACTTTCTGAACGGTGAAAGGAGACCACAATTTCGCCAGGAGTCAACCCGTTTCCGGTGAAGACTCATTAGCTGGATAATTTGACAACGTCTGTACTTGCAATGTGTTTTGGGGAACTAAGGAACCAGTCTGTGGAGCTGAAGTACCAAACAATTGTATCACTAATTAGGTGTCTTTCCCTGGCACCTAGATTTTGAAATTACATCTAGGCTTCAAACTCGTTTAAAATCTCAGATGCATCAGTAGATGACTTGGTCAAGCTAGAACACGTATCTCTATCCTTACAGGTGGAAAGCTCCGGAAGAGTCGGGGCCGTGGCAGAACTGGGACCTCTTACGTAAGCGTTCTTCTGAAGTATCATCTCTACCAACAGCACGAGACAATCTCTTACCTTCGTCGCAACATTTTTAATCGGAGGCGTCGGTTCTCCTGCTGGGGTAGACCTTCACCGCACTCATTCCGTAGACGTGTCCAGAAGAGCAGATGTGGAATTCTGCGTATGCTGCGCCAAACGAATCGCGAAAGCTTTCGCTGTGGAAGCGGGACGAGATGCGCTGCATCGGCTTTGCACAAAAGGGGCACTGTTTTGCTGCTGGCATCTTCAGTGCTGCCTTGCGGTCGACATTCAAAGCAGCCGGCTCGTCTTCGCAGATTGTTTTGTCGCCCCGTTTGTGCGCAAAGCCAGGAGCGAGGGCGCTGACGTCAGCTACCATGCCTCGGTAGACCTTTGCTATCGCAACGTTTGTATCCTGTAGCGGAAACGTTACATCTCTCTGTGCTTTGGGGACCGCTTCCCAGACGTTCCATGTCGCACGCTGTGTAATCCATTCCGTGTACGTGCTTTGGACAACATGACAGGAGCCACTTTCATAGTTGCTGAGCAGGAAGAACGGACTCTTGTTGCGGATCAGACCTGGCAGAATGGTATCTCCTGCTTCCAAAGTGGCTCTCAGAGGCACAATAGGAAGCCAGCCGTCGCAAACGTGACTCTCCAGAGCAATATCGAAGGTATCGAGGGCCCTGGTTCGTCCACTGAAGCCCTGGCGCCTTGTGATGTCAAGGAAGTCTAGACCTTCGGGTATGTGGTTCTTGATCATCACTTGGTTCACCATCTTGCTTTGATAGCCAGGGCACCTAGTCAGCAGCTTTGCAAAGCAGTCCCAACCTGCATCTCCCGGGCTCTCCTTGTCTCCCCTCAGCAGGATCTCACACACATCTGGCAGCGCATTCCTGCATGCGCGCTCCCAGCCGCGCTCCTTCACCAGATTTGCGTAGCGAGATGAAACGCATGCAAATCTTGCAATCGTTTCACTATCAATGCCAGGAGGATATGGCTTCAGCGTCTTGTCCAGGATGAGGCAGACAACGTCATTATTTAGACCTTCGAACGTTGTAATCCCCATGTTCCTTTCTGTTTGTGACCTGTCTCTGGAAAGAATACCCAATCTGCGTCTTAAATATCACCAGTCCGTTCCTGCAGCCTAGCACGATACTCAGGTTTGGCTCAAAGCTGGAATCCTGCCTCTCATGCGTTGACAGCTGCTGAAAAGAGCGTCTCTCAGAGTGATCTATCCTGATCCTGTCCTCAAACTCAAGGCTGAGGCTTGTGTGGAGGAGAAGATGGGAGCAGAGAAGGAAAGCTGAGCAGTTGACGTAACTGCGCTGCCGGCAGCCAAACAAAACTCCGACAAAGTTCTGCTTTGAAAAGCAGAATATGCTGTGTCAGCACGGTATCCTCCTAAGCACCTTTGAAGAAGTGTCAGATTTTCACCACTCATGCTCGAACCTTTTCGAATCGATACTGTCGGTCTGACCAGGGGCGTTGAACCCGGGGCCTTTCGAAGGCCGGGACCATTTCAGAGAATCGGCGCGAGCTGACCGGGGATCGGCTATCTTATATCGTCACATTGGCGCGATTTTGCAATCGATATGATTTTAAAGATACGCGCCGCAACCACATATTCTCGCAGCTTATCACTGCGCCAAACCTGGGCCCCCGAGGAATTGAGCAATACAAAAAGGGACAATCTCACCTGGGAGATGATCAAGAGCCGCAATGCCACGCAAGCTCGAGCCGGTGCCTGCACTGTTTGGGGTTTCGGTAGAAGCTACCGTGCCGCAGTGCCGAAGCTTGGTGCTGAAAGGGTGGCAGGCCGGAAGCAGATCAAGGAGCGTTCCGAGTGTGGCACGCGCGTTCGCCCCCAAGCCAAGCCTGAGCCGAGCGAGATACATTGGCTTGCCTCTTCCATTTTGGCAAGCAGATGCGGCAGCTTATTCGTACAGCCAATCCATTGCGCTACAGTGATGGCAGAAGGCGTATAAAAGCGTCGCTTTGCAGGCGGTCTGCAGATCTGAGAAATGGCTGGGGGACAAGCCTCTTTGCTGTCACCAGCGTCCATCTTGTTAACGTTAACGGATTGTACGGTTCAGATCGCTCCGCCAAAATCCATACAAGAGGTCCTGATCACGTGGAAGGTCCTAGGTGTTCACAGCTAAAGCCCAAATTGCACTCTCAGACTGGCTTCATTAGCTGAAGATCGGACGGCTGTGACAGCGTTTCGGCCATCGGAGCGGGTCTGCGGTCCGCCTGTTTGCATGGGAGGCGGATTCTATACGTCCGGTCCCATGCAGATGCCGACCGCAGCCTCCTCCCACGAGTTTGACGCCACGCAACATGTATCCGGTTGTGCATCGCGAAGAATCAGTCTGGTGTAACGAAGGAGGCAATTTTAGTAGATGTCGATTGCCCGGCCGCCTATGGCGGCGCAGCTAGATGGAATACGGCCTTAAGGCTCGTCCTAATATTTTGCTGATCGCGCTGAACGAATACAGCTCATCATACCAGCGAGCATGCAACGCTCAGTCAGTGTTATTGCACGACGCTCTTGTCAACTTCATTGCGTCACGTAGGACTCGAACATCTAGCTGCTAATTCTCGTTCGTTTGCTGGGCGGCTGCAGTATACACCAAGCCATTAATACCCAGTACGTAACAGCAAGCACACGCATCGATCTGTGAATGTAACATGAGGCCAATGTAGTACCCGACGTCGATCACATATTCAGGGGAGCCCCGTGTGTGAGGCATGAGCACACCGCGCCAATGCTTGGTTTACGCATTAGCTACGTGGCGGCAGATTGAGCATCCACTATCGCGCAGCGGTTGCTAAATGCATCTATACCATGCAGTCTCCGCTTCTGCTGATTTGCAGTCGATTGGAAGATTCGCGGCTGCTAGCCACTTTATCCATCGGCCGACTGGTGCCGAAAGTGTCCCACAAGTTTACCTAGAAATCTCATCCTTAGCGATAAGCACTGGCGCCATGCCCAAAGCATGGAGTGTTTATGGCAGTGTCGAAACGGGAGTCACCTCTAACCGAATTATAGAACTCAAGTCACAAAACCAGTGCTGCGTGCATACGGATCTCTCCGAATCTCCCATGACCGCGCGAGCTCATACTCGTCCTCCCCCACGAACGGCTCACTAATCGCCTGCACCATAAGCTCCCCGCAAAACGGGCACTCCCCCGCGACCGCGTCATCAAGAGCCGTCCGCACTTTCTCGATCGACGGCTGCTGGTCGCTGCTGCTGCTGACGTCAGCGGCGCCGTTCTTGTCCGGCGAGGCAGGACCGGAACGAATTCCTTCCGACTGGGCGGCAAGGGAAGCGAGCTGCCGCCGGAGGGCGACTATGTGGTCCCTCTGCAAAAGACCGAAAATTCATTTGACAAGTGACGACGCTTTCTGAAGTAAACACCGTCGATTGCCGGAGGAACGGACGAACCTTCGCTTGAGATCGATTGACAAATAAGGTCTGCCGCGTGGACTCGCAATATGAAAAGATAGGGAGCAGCGTTTGAACGCTTCAGCACTCTTGTCGGCACCCTGCTGCGCAAAGCGTGCTTCCCTAATCCGCTCCTGTGGGCGTGTGAGCAAAAGGTCGAGAAGATGTACCGACATCTTCGACGTACAGAAATCAGAAGGGATAATGGCCACATTCTACCAAAGATGAACAGTACGAACACGTCACTTGAAAGGACCATCTCAACAAATTACAGTGGAGCAGAAGCGATCAAATCGGAAAGCGAAATAAACGTAGTGGCCAGATCCTGGCGACTGGCTGACGTGGCTACCTGTGTCACACGACGAGGCAATGACGTCAGCTTACCTGGCCGCTCCGGGCGTTCTCCATGACGTGTTGCGTCAGGCAGTCCGCATGGAACGCGTGTTCGCAGGGGAAGACGTAAAAGGGGGCCGCCGCTGCAGCCTCCCGAGAGGGGGCACGTGACCCCCCCGGAGCGAAAACGCCAAGGATGGGCTTCCCGCAGATGCCGCACGGTTCGTCACGGTTGACCACGGCGTACCTGTTTTGGGGGGGAGAAAACGCCTTTAAGGAAACAGCAATTTGTAGAATAGAGACAGTTCTCGATTCCATCTTGGACTTTCCTTGCAGAGCTGTTATCATTCTTGCAAGACTTGCACTGCCTCATGGCAGATCAGCCTGTTCAGGCGCTGGGGACTAAGGCAAAGACTGTCGAAGAAGTTGGTGAACGGTTGGTCCCCATCCTTTGCCGGATGAGTAGCACAAAGTGTTAGGTCGAAATGCTTTCCGATCAGATCTCGTAAGGGGACATTTTTGGTGTCACGCAGCGGTACAGAAGGCTGATGAGACTCATAGATAGACCAGAGGGCAATATTCGGCTAGATGTTGTCCGCTCTCCACGCCTCCTCGTTCATCTCCGCTTCCAAGTATTTGTTCTGCCGGCCACCGATCGGAAGAAAGTGGAAATCTGACAAGTCAAAGGGCCAAGAGCAGCAAAACCAGTTGAAAACATCGCAACAATGACAGTCTCACCGCTGCGCGAGCGCCGCTATGTCCCGCCGGATGTTGTCCGCCCCCCGCGTCGCCTCGTTCATCTCCGCTTTTAAATCCTCGATCTGACGGTTGTACTCTTCCAACGACGCGCAGATCGCCTCTTTGAAGTCGTCGATCAGCGCAAAATCCGGGAAGAACGGCAAGATGTCCTCGATCTTGAGGAGACCGTCGGTCTCCTTAAGGAACGCGATGGCTTTGCGGATGTTCTCGCCTTCGGCGCCGTTTTCCGCTCGCTCCTGCATACAGAGAAGAGTACTGCTAAGCTCTCATGTCACCTGAAAAGGTTTGCCCTTTTAAAAGCATAGGAAAGCCTGAGTTCTTCTAGAACATTTCGTCGCAAATGTCCGACCTAAACCGCTGTTCTCTATGTGCTTCGGCAAAGCGGAATAAATGACGAAACAAATGAAGCAACCTGAGAACTAGCCTTTGCAGTCCCGGTGACACTTTCTCTGTTTTTGCGGAGGATTATCACTCTGAGAACCATTTCCCACGCTTCGCCGCCAATGAGAGGAGTGGAGAGCAGTATCGCTGACTCCAGGACACAGCTGGCTTCAATACATGGCGGTTGGAAAAGAAAGTACTGGGAAAGCCCCTGAAATGTTCTTAAGCGCACCGCCGACGAACAGTCGACGGCATGGTCCGGTAGCGGCACTAGAATCCCTAGAGCTAGACATGGCTACCACAAGCAAAGCTTATACCGGCGGCAAAGGGACGTGCTTCGTTACCCGCAGTGATAAATACAGACAAGGGAACAATCAAACCCAGAAAAGCAGTGAACCAAACAACCGGGAGGGGTTCCATCAGCGCAAGGGCCGCAAAGCGGAACGACGTGATCCTGTGCTTTGTGATCCGCAAACAGAGCGTCTCCGTTCGTGCAGAGACACGATGCAAAGCTTGAAGAGTAGATCCAAAGCTCAGAATGCTCCCTAAAATGCTCCGAAGGACGTTCCAACGAACAATAGTCCGGAAACTTTGGAAAAAGTAAACCCTGAAAGACGTTAACCCGAACGCCGCTGACCTGTTCGATGACGTGCTTGGCTATCCGCAGCCAGAGCTTCTTCCGCAGTGGCTCATCGTCCTCCACCTTGTCGGCCTCCGCTTTGGCCAGCTCCAAATCAACCTGAGAAGTTAAGGAGCCCCGGTTAAAATCAGGGCCAGGTTTCTAGGGTGCGCAGTTCACGCTGAAGGAATAGGAGCAATTTTGGAGCTCAAGAATAATTTCAGAGGGCTGGTCTTTGGAGACTTTGACTTAAGAGTCTCGAGGTCCCGGCTTCATCTGGCTTCAGATTGGCACGCTCAAAACCTGATGCGTTAGTCTTGAAAGCAGAGTTGTTCCGCTTGGAAAGCACATAGGCTGTAACGAGCTCGTAACGATACTGGTCCTAGAAAGGGCCTGAGAACGAGGTTCCTACTCTGGAATCAGGTTTCTAATGGACACATGTTGATCCACCCGAAGCGCTAGAATATCCCCACACTTGAAGCCCATGATTCCTAAGACTCTAATATACGTAAAATCCACAGCTCACCCGAAGCGCGAACGCCACCGCTTCCTCATGCACATCTATGAGAACATAGACGTGAATCTGAAAACCTGACTTTCTTTAAAGCGAATCAGTAGGGAACTCCCGTCACACTCCCATCAACGATGAAAACGAACCATACAATTCCACAATGATCGGCAACCCACAGCCCACCTGGAGGGCTAGCGCCACCGCTTCCTCGTGCATCTCCATGAGGCCGTAGATGAAGACGCACGACCGGATCTTCCGCTCGTCCAGGCACAGCCGAAGAGCGAACTTGGGGTCGTAGAACACATCGGCGCCGCCCGGCTGACCGCCGCCGAACTTGGACGCGAGAAACTGAAGGAGGGGGGCCTCTTCGGGCTGCAAGAAAGAGGCGGGGGGCGGGATATGAGCTGTTTTTCGTCTTCATTGAGCTACAAACTGATTGCGATGAGAACGTGTGACGACTCGCACACGTTGGGTCGCACAAGATCGGCTTTCGGGCTGGCTGCCGCCGAACTTGAACGCGAGATTGGAGAAGGGAATTTTTTGGGATTGCAGGAAGATTTCAGCGTGAGTCAGTTCTCGAGCGGCTCGTGTTGAAGTCGCAAGCGGAATCTTCGGGACATCTTCGACGCTCCTGTTAGAGTGATCTGTCGGCCAAATTTGGTAGCACTGTTCGACGTTTTCTTTGCATTCCCGTCTTTGTGTTCTTTCTTTGAAGAAACTTGTTTCTACCAAGCACTGACGTCATCGACCTGGAGAAGCTTTAGGGTAGATCAACCAAGCCGCCAGCGATCAAAAGAAAGCAAGGCGACAAGGTTTTCAAACCCTCCAGAAACCCTCCAGAATGCGAGCTACTTGCCTGCAGTCTTTACTTTTGAGCAAGTGGTGAAAATCGTGCCAACTCTCCTACTCAATCCCTGCTAACGGATTCGGAGACTCGTCCAAGCAACGGCATCAAGACCTCAGCAAAAAACCCATTCCGGACGATTCTGGCGCTCTTACCCGTTTGGCGTAGAGGGAGAGCAGAAGGTTGTGTATGGCGGGGTCTTGGTTCTGCAACCGCCGGACGCAAAACTCCAGGTACTGGATTGCGAAGTTGTCGCCCTCCCTGCAGCACGAGAGAGACAGATCTTAGAGCCTCTGGGAGATTAACGGTGATCTTAGAGGCCCTGAAGATCAACGGTCAATATAAAGCTTTTGGAGATCAACGGTGAGAGCGGGGACAAAGCGAGTCTGTAATTCCGAGATTGAGGCCCGGGGGGCTGCTAGAAGAGATGGCGTGGAGAGGTCTAGAATGAGAAACCTCGGTTTAGGCGACTATCGACTGATCATCGATCGAAACCCTAACCCTCGCCACGTCATTACTTCCGACAGCATCGCTGACTATGGCCTCAAAGTCACTGGTTCCCCTCGAGCCAAGCGGACAGTCATTGAAGCCTTGAGTTGAGTCGCTCCTTGAACCTTGCTTCAGAGGAGCGGCTGCACGGTGCCCTTCTCTTTGACGAGAACGGTGTTGAGGGTGAGGTTCTCAGGATGTCAAATCCAACTTTCGGTAATGGTTTGCAATATAGTAAAGGCCTTGACCAAATCTCCGCGCAATACTCGTCGATAACCTCCTCTAATACCTTCTTCTTAACCCTCCTTATGACCCTTCTTTCTAAACCTCTTCATAGCCCTTTGCAACACGTTGCTAACCCTCTTCACAACCAAGTTATGGCTTATACCATCTCAGCAGGGTTCCGGCGAGGCAAGCAAAGCGTCAGTCGCGACCAACTGACCATCTGGAAAGATCTGCGAACGAAACTTGGACACAGGACGCCCAGAGAAAAGAAAGGACGACAATACCTCACGAAAATGGAATTTGCGGAAGTCGAACAAGAAGCACAGAACAAGTCTTGTAGGGTCTAGGTTTTTGCACGTTCCGGACTTCTCGTTATCAAGTTCGTTTCCACAGAACAAGATGTAGAAACGAACGTGATAACGAGAAGTCCGGGATGTGCCAAAACCTAGACCCTACAAGAGGCAAGGAAGCCAAACGGGTTGAGAAAGAGGAGGAGAGATGTGTTCCCAACGAACTCACACGTGGGTTCCGCTTGTGTAGCGCATGAGAGCGGCAATAAGGCGCCGCGGGTTCAAGTTGGCCCCCGCCGCCATCCAGGCCTCGGTCGTGAGAGCCGGGTCCAGCGCAATGAGCGCTGGAGCGAAGTTATACTGCAGAAAAAGAAAGATAAAGGATGTGGACAGTGTCAAAATCAGTCTTCGCATTGCAGGTTCATAACACCGATTTCAATTGACCGCCTCACCCACAAGAGGCCAATGCCGAAGAGGAACATATAGCTTTGAGCACATAATCCAAGCAATCCAAGCAATCCAAGCGAGCAGTTATCTACTACCCAGCATGTTCTAACGCATCTGATCCGAACGTTGATGGTTACCCCTTCACATATACGGCTTTTTATACGTTGCTTCTTAGCACCAACAGCTGCGCTCTTGATCACACGCCGATGGTAGTCTCCAGCGGTGAATATGACAGAAAGATATTTAGCAGAATTAGGAGCAGATCTTCCGTCCGCTTACCCACAACTCCGGCGAAACGCTCCGTATGCGCAGCACCATAATGGCTTTCTTTATCTATCATACTCAACAGAATAGAAACTGCTCTCGGCAGTCAATCCTTTTTCGTTGTTTTTAGCTAAAATAGGAGCCCAAAACCCGTTCGCTCACCCACAGTTCTGGTGAAACGCTTGGCTTCCGCAGCCCCATGATGTCTTCTTTACTTGTCGTACACGGCAAAATAGGAACACCTCTCGGCAGTGAACTCCTTTTCATCGGACCCAGCGAAAAAAACAAGAAAACCGGCCGCTCACCCACAGCTCAGGCGAAACGCTCGGCTTCCGCAGCACCATAATCGCTTTCTTGGCGTCCCCTTTTTGTATATGATGCTGGATCGCGACCTCGTGATGGTCTTTCAGCGTCGCAAACAGCACCAGTTCCTCCTCCCGGCCGTAACTCCCGAGCAGTTTCACGGTCGTGGCCTCGTCCAAAACGCCCTTGCAATCGCTGAGGAACGCGCGGAACTCCTGCACCGTGTGCTGGTACTCGCCGGGGCCGTCGGATGGGGGGCGGGCGCCATCCTGGCCGTCCAAAAGCAGCCGGTTGATCTGCGAAGGGAAAACAAAGGATCAGAGACCGGAGTTTGCTGATTAGAAAAGGCTCAAGGCAATACGGAATAGAGGTACGGCATATCCATTTTCGGTTGGAATCAGCATGTCGTGTCGACAGGACGAAAAAGGTCGCGGGAAGCAGATCAAGGGCGGTCCAAGGGGGAGGGGAACGCTTCCTAGCCGCTCTTTTGGCTTGGATGAGCGTAGGTTTTTGAATCTCTTGGAGAATTAGGATCTTCAAAAGCTATAAACGTCGGGGTATCAAGTACACAATTGACCGTCCACCTTGTCGAGGTAGAATCCGGTGCACCACGTGGCAACCATGCTGCTCTGTGCGCGTTCGTCCCTAGCCCGACGGTTTCTCATCATTCAACACCTTGGGTTAGATGTTATCAAGCAAGGCAGGGTTTGGAAAACCCAGAGATCCAAATCTCCCACATTGTCAAGATACAGCTCGGTGCACCACGTGGCGACCATGGTGATCTGCGCGCGCTCGTCTCTGCCCCGGCTGGTTCTATGGGTTCTCAATCTTTCCAATTTAAAGCAGGTTTACGGTCACGGTTACGGTAAAATCTTTTGGGGTCACCTTGTCGAGGTACAGCTCGGTGCACCACGTGGCGACCATGGTGATCTGCGCGCGCTCGTCCTTGCCGAGGTGGTCCAGCTTGTGCAGCAGGAACGTCCGCAGCGCGTCCTGCTCGCCCCCGTTCACGAACTTGAGGGCCACCTCCTCGAAGGTCGTCATATTTTGGACCTGCGATTCAGATCAAACAAATGTTGTTCGTTCCTTCTCTGTTCTTTTCTTCTTCTTTCTGTTCCCATCTCGTTAATCTCTCTTGCTTCCGATTCAAAAGCTTCATGTACCTTTCCGTCCCCAGCCCACAGTCACAACTTGAAGGCCACCTCCTCGAAGGTCGTCATATTTTGGACCTGCGGAACGAAGAATAGTTCTTTGTTCTTATGTTCTGCATTCCTTCTTTTTCCTTCCCTCTTAGTCATTTCCTCCTGGTTCCGGCTCATTCCAAGGGTTCTGTTCTTTGCATCCCAACCGCACAGTCACGAAACGAGGGCTACCTCCTCCAACGTCGTCAGGTTCTGGACCTGCAACTCATGGGGAGAAGCTCGTTAGTTCCGATTTTCCTATTAGATCCTCCGTCGTTATACTGCATCGTTCACGTCTTGTTTGTGCATCAATGTCCAGCCTACGTTCACGAACTTGAAGGCAAACTCCTCTCAGGTCGTCATGTTCTAAACCTGCATTTGATTGGAAGGAGAGTGTTCACTCTGCTTCTTGCGAAGGCTGCCCCCTTCTACCCTTGACTTCTCAAATGTATTGAAAACCTCCCACTCTTTAACACTTTACATGGTTTTTCTCCTGGTTGATGAGATCGAACCCGCGTTATCGAAATTCAGCGCCACTTCCTCGAACGTCTTCAAATTCTGGACCTGCCTTTGATTGGAAATTCTGTATACTCTCTTTCCAGAGAAGCTGATCCCCCCACTTCCGACTCTCGTTTTCCCCATTCTACCTATTATTGTTTTGACGGAATAAAGCCCACGTTCAACCACCTGATCGCACTATCTCTGAGACTGTCGGTATTCTCGTCGACCTGTTACGCGAAAGGGCAATCGTCCATCCTCAGATTCTGCTGTACCAGACTGTGTCGTTCTCGTTCCCCCAATTTCCTCTGATGTCCGAACTTCTTGTCAACCCAGCAGTGCCAGCCACACACCTTTGACGCTCTCCTGCTGGTCAGGCCTTTCGTTGAACCCGACACGGACCCTTGATTGGCACTGGATCTGCGAACAACAAAACATCTTTTGAGGTAAAGTGGCAGTGACTCCTCACCTTTGCATAAAAAGTTGCCGCTCGAGCGTAGTCCCCCGCTGTGAACGCCACTTCCGCTTGCGCTGCGTATATCTTGTCCCGTTGGAGACCGTCCCGAGCGTGGCTCAGAGCCGACGCGTATTCTCCCCGCTCTAGATGCAGCCGCCACATGTCTTTCCCCTCATCCGTTGCCGTCACCTGATGGAGGAAAAGAATTCCGTCTTACATGTCGGTAAAGTGTTATAGCATTCATATAGGCTTTCTTGTGATTTCATTCTCCTGTTTCGTGCTTCTTCTTGTTCAATGGGAGTCCATGAGTTCGTCTTTGATGTTGAAAAATTGGTGTGCTCTCAACTCTCGAATGACTCCCCTTGTGCCCACCCTTCCTTCCCTCGTGCGGCGACGTGAATCGAGAGAAAGAGGAACAAGGGGTGTCAGCGATATCCCAGAACAGGGTACGGTCTGCTTCTACCGGGGACTTTTCGTCTTATCCCTGTGTGGACTTATGCACCTTAACTTGTCCCAGAAAGGATAGCTTGCAGAGGGCGTCAGTGTAGCCACTGACTGATGTTCTTGTTGGAAGTGAATCAATCTGGACGCACGGGCTTTTAGCTTAGCCGGCTGGTGTGCACAACTTTCGTCCTTATGAGGCAAGTCGGTAAACTTTGTGTCTTGAAGCCTCTGCTTCTGCAAACCCTACACTACGGTGCCCTGTGCCCATATATTGGATTCTCCTCCTCCTTTACAACTCTGAGGAGAAGGGTTGAGATGCATTGGTGATGACGGTTCTCGTAACTTGCTGACGCGCGGGCCTCATCGACTAGCATTTCAAATCCACCGGAGGCAGTTGACGTGTATCGAACATGTCCAATGGACCGTCTTCGAAGGAGTTGGAGAAATTCTTTCAGTCGTTTCGTCCCGCACAAATGAGCGCGGTCTTGTCTTTAATCAGCACCTAGCCCAACGCTAGGCGACATTCAAGCACGCACCTCCGAGACGGTGCTGTCGCTGTAGCAGTATATGACGTCCTCGGCGTTGTCGTGGCACATTCCCAGCATGCCACGTGGCCCGATCTCGTCCCGCGCCCCGAGGGGGTCTTCCTCCACCACCTGCTGACTGACCCGGTTGACCACCTGCGGTTTGGTGCGCATATTCAGAGCGAGCTCTTCCATGTCTAACGTACGCAGCCTATCTTCCTCCTCAGGGTTGGGGCTACCTTTCTTTTTTAGCTGCTTCTGGTTCTATTCACCATTCTCTTGTCCTGATTTGAGATTCATCGGACGTCATTTCATCAGAAGCAAACGATGAATCTTCTGGTCGAGCCCGAGTCTGCATCGCAACTTCCCATTCGTTCAACGGTGCCCGTGACCGTTTCTTACTTAAAGAGGGCGTCAGCGGATGCATCCGCAAAAGCGACCGGTAAGCGTGAAATGCACTGTTCTTGTCGCCGCGATCCGCTCGTGCAAGATGTTGGCAGCGACAGCAAAACCGGCCTTTCAGGTGTTAGCGACGCCGCGACAGCCACGTGGGTGACCTTGAAATCCAACGCTCATTCAAGGGAAGAGAGCTTCCCCCATCATCGAAGACAGGTGAGATTTAAGTTCTAAGGTATTGCATTTGACAGAAGGGAACTCTTCACTGAGGAGAACACGAAACGCGCACCTTGAGCGTGTCTTTGAAGAGCAGCAGGTAATGGAACTCGGTCACCGCCAGGGACACCGGTACTGACGAGTCGCCGCTCTTGCTGGAAAGCTTCGAGTATTCCAGCAGCCACTTGTTGTCGACATAGTTCTCTTCGTTGTTACTGCACGAGCCAAAAGCGAAAAAATAAATAACCGACCCCAAATTTTCAGGTTTCAATCTGCAGATTCGATGTGGCGGTGTCCCCATCTTCAGAATCGATTGTAATACAAGTCGTTCGTCCATGCTGCTGGTGAGATCGGATGGAATGAAAGTGTTGCAACTCAGACAAGCAGTCCCTGAGAAAATTGTTGCCCATCCCTTGACATTGGCATGTCGAGGGACCGTTTAGCATACTTGCGCATGACCCGACTCTACCGCAAAATTCAAGACAGCCAAAACGCCCCGCAACGTCAAAATCCAACGATAAAAGGACTCGATCTGTACCATGACCCAATCATGCTTGGCATAGTTTCTGCCACAGTCTCCCCCGAGCCTCCACCAAACCCTTTTTGACACACTTAACGATTCAAAAACCAATCCCGCGCTGCCACGTGTACCTGTGTTGCGCGCCCAGGTTGATCTGGCCGTGGTAGATCCCGGGCCCGGCCATCCACGCGAAGCGCTCCGTCCGCTTCTGTCCGAAAAAGTGGAGCTCGCTGGACGGCAACTGTCCGGGGAGCTCCGTGAAGCGCAGAGTGCGCTCCTTGGCCGCCGCAAACGTGGCCTGCAAAATGGAGGATAAAGTTTCTCGATTCAGAGCTCTCTAATCGCTTTTATTGCGAAAAGCGAAGAGAGAGCTGCAGTCGCCCTCATGCTGAGAGTGACTCCATAAATAAACTGTCGGGCATCGAAGCCGTCGAGAGAAGGTCAGATATAGCCTGTGAGACTCATGAAATCTGCATTTGAATTCTGAAAAGGGGTCTGACAGGCAGCAGCAACTATAAAGGTTGCGCACTAGCTGTGACTATCAAGTGGAGAAGTGTGTGCATAGCAGATTACGCTTTCCACGAGCAAAGTAGTCAGAGAGCCGTGTACTGACAAGACAAATTGCCTCCCTAATCTTCGAGAAACCTTCCAAGGATTGCAACTCAACAGATTTTACCCGCGCCCTCGAGAGCTTGAATACAAAAGACTCGTCCACGCATCCGCTGACGTCACACCCCACCAACTGACATCAGGCTCACCTCCAGGCTTCCGGCGCCCGCGAAGGTGTAGAGACGGGTCGCCGTGACTGCCATTATGAAGTAGCGGGGACCGCTGGAAGTCGTCATGACCTCCATCTGCCGCGCGGGAACCAGACAGCAAAGTTTTGACTTTGGTTTCAATCTGATAACCTTTGCACTGGACGCAGACAGTGAGGAACGAGTCGATATAGAATTCTTTGCGTCAAATCTGCTGGAGTATTCGTTTCAAATCTTGGACCATCGATCGACGATGGAAAGACTATCCACAGCGCTTGAGTTTGGGAACCACTGAAGAAGCAAGGGTGGCAAGTTTAACGCAGAAAGTCGTAGGTTGGAGGTTGGGGGGGTGCGGGTGCGAAGCAAGTTATCATTGGATTTGGGTGTTGAGTTGTGTGCCACAAAAACTCTTCTGTCTCACTTGGCGGTAATCTCGAACGAACGGTGCCATTGCCAAGGCGGCATTGTTGCTTGTTTATCTCTCGTAGTCAATAGAACGTCGAACCTCCGCGAAAATGACGTTTGGCAGTTGGGTTCCCAACTATTGATTTCTTATAAACTGTGGTCAGAAAACCCTATAACTCAAAACCCGTATTTCCAAAGCCCAGGCGTCGCCGGTTTACTTGGATACCACAGATAAATTCTTGGCTCTCCTTGCAGCTCGTACAGCAGCTTGACGAAGTCCCTGACAGCTTTTGAACCATCAGACATCCCTTCCAAAACTCCTCAAAATCCTCGAAAGCAATCCCAAGTTTTTGAAGCAGAGCTTTGACAGCTTACTTGGATGGCGCAGATGGGTTCCTGGCTCTCTTGCAGCTCGTACAGCAGCTTGACATACTTCTCGCGCTTGTCCTTCTCCTCAATGAGGGCCTCGTGGATCTGGCCGTTGCTGGTGCCGATGAGGAACTCGCGGGTGTTACCTGTGCGCACGAGTGCAAACAAGGCCTGTCAGTCGTCGTTCGTAGTTCCTCTTAGTTCAAGAAATGGAAAGATCTGAACAAGAATCAAGGGTTTTTGGATTCCAAATCGTTGGAGGACCTTCCAAATGTAAAGCCTGGTCTTTCGATTATGGGGCCTGAGTCTCTATGCTCCTTACACCTTCCAGCATACAAGCCTTTTGGTCCACCAAACACCTTTGTGACCCACCGCCAAAAAGTATAGAAATATTCCAGTATTTGAAGGCCGCACATTCGCAAACTTTGATAACTCAGTAACTCATCATTCAGAAACGCAAGTTTGAGTCTAGAAAGTCTCACCGTCATTGCTCTGCAATTTGTTCCAAGCGACCGCTGTCACCAGGATTCCCTTGAGCTTGGCCAGCGGCCGCGCTTTCTTCCACCTCGCGTGCATGTAAAGCGTCTCCGCTGGAAAGCCGGTCGTGCTCTTAAGCGAGACAAGCGCGTGCCGCCCGCCATTGTCGAGGAACACCTTTGAAATGGTTTGGTCGTTTTGGCGGGTCGTGTTCAGGTCAATTTCTGCAGGAAAGCACAACGGTAAACACAAAGTGGACGTGAGCATCTGACGAAATTGCCAACAACGTCAGGATTTCGGCGGTCAGGATTTTCGACTGCAATCCAATGAAGGGCTCAGTACGATGAGCTTTCAAAGGAAGGTGCACATCTTACGCCCACTTTCAGGACTCGGGGAAAGGTTATGAAGAGCGTCAACGATATAAGCTATGGACAGTATCGTTTACTATCTACGGTTATGGCCAACAAGGTTGGGGCAAACCAGTGGTGGAACCCGTCTTTAGTCTTGGTGACTTTCGAGCGAAACCTGGCAGATTTTGTTTGTTCTGGCGGGCCTGATCAGAGGTTGGTTTGGATATTTCGGTCCCCACAGGCTGTACTCACAACTCAAGTCTTCTTAAACCAATTTTTCTGAGTATCCCAGAGATGCGGTTGAAAAAACCTCCAAGCCAGCACCTCTCCTTACTATCAAACTTCTTCCTCATAGAAGTATGCTCAAAAAAGTCAGTCAGATCATGACTTCAAGAGTAGTCACAAGCCCCTGCTCCTATCCATTGAAACCATCCGTTAGGCAAAGATTAGGTTCCTTCATCAACCACCCTATCCGCGTTCCTAGTCCTCTCCTTGCTATTAGGAATACTTGCCTAGAGCTTCTTCTCCGCCAAAGTCATGGCGGATCAGCCACCCTTTGCTGGTCCCAACCAGGATGACATTATTGGCGGCCGCCGCTGACGTCACCTCTCCATGGCCCCTGGCGGCATTCCGCTCGAGCGCATCGACTCGAAAGATGGGGTCCACGATTGGAAAGGAGGGAGGGCGGGAAGCGGGGACATTTGCATCCTGTAAATGGGTGCAAGCATTCAGGCAATTTCAAGTGAAGGAGGACAACGAACGATGTGAACTGACGGGTTTCTGATCATTGATGCGGACATCTTGGAGGTGCCGTTAAGTAAAGGCCGGGGGGGAAAGGGACATGGGGGGCAAAGAGAGACTTCCCCCATCCTTCGGGTTCAGACTCAAAGTGTGGTTTGCGTAGTTTTGTGCTCTGCTGGGCTGCAGGATTTGTGCATCAATCAAGTACGCAGGGGCCGAGGAGGGGTGGTGTAATGGGCAAAGTTCGTCGGTGGCAGGGGGCATACCCATTTGTTCTTGCTTTGTACAAGCAGGCTAACCATACTCACAGCCACTTGATGAGATGAATCCAATAAGCTGCGTGCTCAATAAAAGTGAGTGAGCAAGAACATTTGCCAATGTTGCACCACACAAACTTGCATGGTTTTGAAGCTTGTATCAATGCACCCGCTCACTTTTCGAATGATATGTGAAACATTGTCATAGTCAAAAACCGAAACCCACGACTGCAACATTAAATTTCAATGAGGTAGTTTGAGCTGCAAACACAATGATCACGATTTTCCTGATTGAAACTTAAAGTCCTCTCACCTCGTCACCCTCATCAATTGCTGCTTCGAATGCATCCTCGAGTGGCTCCTCTGCAGGGCCGCTCTCTTCCTGGTTCCAATCTGTCAACATGGTGGCCTTTCTGCTGAGATCTCTCCCCAATCAGCGCCTCACAGCCACACCTAGGACAGCCAAAAAGCGCCTCATTGGCGTGAAAACATGTGCCATTGGCGTGAAAACAAAGAGTGAGGTCTTGCCTGTAAAATACCTAGTGAACAGGTTGAGAAACCGCCAGCGTAGCACCTGACCCTAGGTTCTACTGTCAGGTAATAGTCACCCTAACCACGCTTAGAAGCGCAGAAACACACCGCTCCGGAATGCCATGTGGCCGGTTTCGGGTTTGCTTGAGAACCCAAAACCAAGCTCATGCACCTCCCCTTTCAAGAAGTGCCCGGTGGATTCACCCAGTTGATTTGACGCGAAACTGGTAATCTTACAATAATACTCAGCATTCCCCCGGGGGGAAGCCCCGAGTATATATAAACTTGAATTAAAATGATGTTCTTGGCCAACTGCGCGAGCTGCACACGAGCAAACAGCTTGTATATACGGCTGTCGGGCAAATAGACGGTGGTTGGTACTGTAGCGAGCAGCTCCAAGTGGCTCCGAGTCCAAGTGCAGTCATCAGGAAAGGATGCACCCACAACTAAATTTGAATCTGGGCACCCGCATGTACTCCCTTTACTTCCTTTACATCCGCATTTCCTAGTAAAGGAAGTAGATAGCAGTACTGCAGGCATTGAGAAAGAGGATGAGCAACCAAGTACACTGTCACAGAATGCCGATATTATATCCGGATCGGGGATCCTCTGTTTCCGTGAGAAGCTTTCACGTTGTATGCCGGAAGACGCCTGCGCGTTTCTCGCTTCTGCATGAAGAAGTACCACTGAGAAGCTTTGATAAACATGTGATGGAGCAGTTTCAAGGAGACAAAAAGTGATCAGACAGTGCGGCCTGATTCAGGCCCTGACCGCCAACTCTTCAGACCTGTTGATCGAGTCAGACGCAGCCATTTTCCGGCTGATTATCAAGCTTCATTCGGAGGAGCAGATCTTTTCATGAAGCTTAACACGCCAATGCCAAGGCTCGCACGCAGCTAGCGCTCGCATCATGGAGCCTGCACTGCCTGGGGGAAATGGGCGGGAGGAGCGGATCGCTGCTCGGAGGGCGCGCATCCAAGCGCGTATCCAGGCGACCAGGGATGCTGCTGATGGGGGTAAGAGATCGATGGGGATGCTAGACTTCGGTAAATGGAATATATTAGGTTTAAAAGTCTGACAGGTTGAAGCATCACACTTGCGCTCAAGATTTTGAGCTTCAGCAGCATTGCGCATCCCAAGCTGGCAGATGAAGGTACACTTTTGGCGCAGCTTTGGAACCTAACAGTCAGCTGCAATCGCTTAGCCCTGTGCTCTTCCGCGTAGCTCGTCTCTCCGAAGATGCTCTCTTTGGACCTCTCGCCGCTTCCTCATGCGGGTGAAATCCCTACATCCGCCGAAACCCTGCCCTTAACCTGCGTTTAATTCACTTAACTGCCAGCTATTTCTGCTCAGTTTGTGCTAACCTTACCTCTAACCGCAGGGGCGCGCAAAGCCGCGGAGGAAGAGAAGCGTGACCCCCACCTCGGAAAAGCGCACAAGGCGCAGGTGTTGCTGCGCCTCGCTCGCCTCAAGGTGAGCGCGCCACCTGACAGCCGTGCGCTGACGTGGCGCTGACCTGGCGGTTACCCAACTGCCTTGAAAGCGATCTCAGGGAGCGGTTGTCCTAGTTAAAGACGCTGGCTTGGTGCTGGCCCAGCGGAAAAAAGCGGCCGGCCGATGAAGACATTCCCACAAACTTGGAGGCCTACGTAAGAGACTATGGTACTGCTAGTTGTTTACCAAACGGTGGTACAGATGCCATGCAAATGGCCTTGTGAGAATCTGTTACTGGTTGTTTTCATAGGGATGAGGACCCACGCCCATGTGATGAGTAATGACATAGCCCCCACATGTTGAGCACACTCGAGCAGCACACATGCCATCCTGTGCGTTTTGAACTACTTGTAACTTTGAAGAATTGCTATCTTCGCTCTTCCCACATGCTAGCTGAAAGATTGTGCGCTTGGACTTTCATCGGTGCGTTGGCAACTGCAGGCCTTTCTTTGGGCGAAAGGTGAGTCCCAGAATTGTCAAAACGAGCTGAACGTCGTCAAAAAATGAGCTCGAACACGTTGGGAATCGAGCCCGGTGAATTTCTTTCTGTCGCAGCTGAGAGGCAATGCGGACGTCACGGCTCCACGCGTCGCTGGAGACGAGCGAGAACAGCGGCGGCGGCAGAAGGAGGAAGAACAGAGACAGGTAGGCACGTCTTACAGTTCCCTAATGGCTCTTGTGGAAAACAGACATGGTTCTTGGAATACTGAGGTCAGATGCGCTCAGACTACTGACCATTGATGCCGCGGCTTCTGGTGGCAACGAGTCCAAACGTCACAATCGCCTCGGGGAGTGATGCAATACCAAGGTTAAGGACAGCACAACCGCCCCTGGCGAGGGCTTATCTTAAACGAGGTTAACTACAGTACAACTACCTCTGGCGAGAGTTTATTCAACGGGGTTAAACGAGACAGCACTACGACCTCTGACGAGAGTTTTAAATGAAGTCATGGGACGACACAATCCCCTCTGGCGAGTGTTGAGTTGACAAGGTTACCGGGAGAGCATAACCACCTCTGGCTAGTGTTTACGTCACAGGGTTAAGAAGACAACTTAATTACCCCTGGCGAGAGTCTTTCACGAGGTTTTACGAGACACCAGAAAACACCTCTGGCGAATGAGTTGAACGAGACATCGTGAACCCCTCTGGCGAATATTTTTTTGACGAAATTAACGAGACAACGAGCGAGACGCTGTTGGCTCTTTTTGCAGAACCTGCGGACGGCGGTTCTCGCTGAGGCGGAGGCGAGCCTGAAGAGCAACGCTGACGTGGCGGCCAAGTGGGCGGCCCTGTTCACACCGGGGGTGCCGCAAGACTTGGCGGCCGACATCGAAAAACAGCGCCAGGTAAGTGTTTGTTCTTGAGTGATTTCAGAAGAGATCGTTAATGATGATATATTTGTCTCGACCAATTTTGGACCTTCCGAGACGCCGAACTCAGAGTTGAGAGGCAAGAGCCGACCATTTTGGATGACATTTTTAACCTTTAATCCTGGACGAGGATGAGCTTTATGTACTCCGCTAGATGCTTCCTTCTTCCTTTGAACGTCCGCGTATCTTCTGCTTCTCAACCTTTATCTTAATGCTCCAACTTTTGGCGCCCAGCCGTTTGCTGCTGTCATTACGACAAAGACGCCCTCATCGGCAACCTGCGCGCGGTTCTGAAAGACAAGGATAAGTCCTTTAAATGCTCCTCAACATTCTTTCCCTCCCATCCTATCCATTATTTATCTTTTTACTCCCCACTAAGTCGCTCCAGCTGTTCCCTCAGGCGTGGCTGTTTCCCTTTTGACGTTGGACCTTTCCACCCAAAGTCTGCGGTTATCGCAACCTCTCTCGTCGGCAACTCACCCGCGCTTTTCAAGCACTCGAAAGCCCAACCGAGTTCTCTCTTTTGTATCGCAGAAGGCCCCCCTTGATTTTGCTACTCTATGCCCTCTAACAGGCGTGTGCTGCGGTGATCGCAAACAAAGATGCCCTCACCGGCGACCTGCACCCGGTCCTGAAAGGAAAGAACGAGAATTCTATTATCCCACTACATTATTGCTCTCTCCCTCCATCCAAAAAAGCTTTTCTTCTCCCCTCCACTAAATCGATCTACGGCTTCCCCAGGCGTGTGCTGCGGTGATCACAAACAAAGACGCCCTCATCAGCGACTTGCGCGCGGTTCTGAAGGACAAGGACGAGGACTACATTTCCGCCCACAGCATTGCGTTTCCCGGCTATTCTTTGTTTTTGTTTCCAAATTTCCACTACTAAAACTGACCTACGTCTCTCCCAGGCGTGTGCTGCGGTGATCGCAAACAAAGACGCCCTCATCGGCGACCTGCGCGCGGTCCTGAAGGACAAGGACGAGGACTACGTGCGCGCGCTGAAGCAGGCGGCGACCGACATCGAGGCGCTGCTGGCCGCGTGTCGCCGCAGCTTCCAGGCGCTGCAGGCCGCCTACCGGGAGGACTTGGCCGCGCTCGAGAGGAGCTTTTTGGCGGACCGAGCGCGCCTCTTGACCAAGTGAGAAGCCATATATGTAAATCTGTTCCTCTATATGCATTTCATAGAAAGCGCTTTCATTTTTTGGTTTTGTAATCTGTTCGAGCCCTCTCTTCCGACCGTCCTTATACGGCTGGCAAGGTCCAAAGGCGGCTTACTGGGAAGACTTGGCGGCGCATGAACGAGGCTTTATTGAGGGTCGGGCGTGAGTTTTTGGGAATTGAGGGGCGCAGATCGGGTCATAGGCCGCCGCCATTCGACACCACCATGATCTATTTTCAGTTTTGACGGTCTTGGTGTATGAGCAGCTTCAAAGTGCTACAGGCCAGGAATAGCTGGCAGCCCCTTAAGCAGTCAAAGGTCTCTACAGAGTTCCCCCTCTTTGGATTCTCGATTATTTTGCTTTCGGTTTGTGTTGAAAAAGAGTGGTAGAAGAGTGAAGCTTTACAGGACCACTTAGCAGCGCTCGAGCTTGTCGGAGACCGGTCGGTTCACCGAGGAAGACACATCTGGCGAGTCTTACTTTCTCTATCTTCCAGATCATGCAGCGTTTTCGGGCATCGTTCGACTTTTAGCGGCCTGCCGGCGCAGCTTTCAAACAGTACAGACGTATTGCTGGAAAATTTCAGGATCACTCGGAGCATATTCGCCACCGGACGCGTTTTTCCAGCGGAAGTACAGGAGCCTCGAAAACTTGGAAATTCGAAGCTTTTTGTTTCTGGATTTCATAGGGGTTTGGGAATCAGCCGATTTAACGATCAACACGGAGCACTGATTGCTGATTTTTCACTCATACTCTGCTCCGCAGCAACAAGGCCGAGATCGCTGCCCTCTTCGAGGCGCGGCGCGCGCGCGAGAACGCGTTCCTGGAGCGCTGCGCGGCCGCGACGGGCGAGTACTGGGCCGCGCTGGAGGCGCTGCGCGCGAGCGACGCGGAGCAGTACGCGCGCCTCAAGGGGCAGCTCGAGACGGACATCCACAACCTGGAGCAACACTTGCAGCACATGCGGGCGACCTATCAAGTAGGGATCCGCTCCCCCTTCTTGAACACTGTACTTACTTCCGTCTCGGTTCTCCTCCTGACCAATCACGACGCGTCCTCTCATTTTTTTGCCGCGTCTTCTTGTAATCCCTACATTTTTCGTACATTTCGTCATTTAACCTTAGGAGATCGGAAGACCATGTCCGACATGTGGGGCGCTCTGTATGTATAGAGGTTTGTGACCTTCAGAACCTGGAACGGGATCTACAGCCTATCGTGACTTTCGGACGTTTTCATGTTTGCTATGGAAGGCGTCCGGCACGCTTAAAACGATGAAAGACTTGGCCAGATACATCGAGAGACATCGAATTTGACGTCAGATGGGCGTCAGATGGACGTCAGTGATTGGAAATTTGGAACAAAACCTGCAGCACGTCCGGGTAATTCGATGGGCTTGTCTAACTTTTCTCGTACTCAAACTTTAACTATTTCACCCCGGATCAGTAGAAGTTCTTCATCCTCCCCTGTGACTGCCCGGCCTAACTTCCTCAAGCTTCTCGTAGCCTTTTTCGCTTGCGCAGCTCAACACGGAATATAGCTGGCCGCGGAAAACATTACTTTATACCGCCAAAACTTACGAATGTTCTCAGACCCAAAACAAAAACAAATTTGAAGAGGATTCAATTCTTGCTAACACGAAGAAATAAAGCAATCAAAGATTTAAAGGGGATTCATTTCTTGCTTGCGCAGCTAAACACGGAAAAGTTGGAGTACAATTGGCGCGTCCTTCTGGAGCGCGACACGGAAAACGGTTCCACCGTCGCCGCGCAAAAGCGGAAGCTCGCGCGTCAGCGTGACGTGCTCAGCGGCCTGAAAGCCGCGGCCGCTGACGTGGAGAAACGTCAGCGGGAAGCCGACCTGCGCGTCACGGACGAGTACCGCCGCTGTACGGAACAATTCAAAGATCTGCAGGTGGGGTTGCGTACGCACAAATACATTCGGTCGGCTTTGTCTTGTAGGTAGTCGAGCTTATGTTACGTGGAGAGCTGTAGCACGCAAGATTGCGTATGCGGCCGTGGTGACCTGTGCATATCAACGTCGATGCATGCGTACACAAGAGACTAGGCAGACTCTCTTGTTAGACATGCCAAGAAGACATCGAATCTGGATGATTTTTTGCGGTTCAGGATCTGTGTCAACTGACGATCTGATCCCCGGATGCTCAGGTCTGACACGCGTATGGTCCTTTAATGAATGAGGTCGTATTTGTCACCTGCGCCGAGAGTGCTCCCACTGTGGTGCCTCGCGGCAATTTCCAAAAATCCAAATCGTAGAGCTTTCGATTCTACGAATCGCAAGCGCCATGAGTCAAAAGATCAACGCGTCATAGAGCAGTGGATCAAAGCTTACGCGCTTCGCATCCGTAACACCGTGATTCCTTCGCTACTAAGCCAGGGCTAATACGGAAACGCTCATGGCGATTGACGTTCAAACCTTAATCGAATTCAAAAACCTCTAAACTCTAAAACTTCAATCTTAAGACCTAAAAGTTTAAAAACTGAAAATCCCAAAAGCCCTGCAAATCCGGCCCGCAGGACAAGGTCGCGCACTTCGCGCGCACCGACCGGACGCAGTACGCGCAGCTGTTCGAGATGAAGCAGGGCAAGGCCGCGCGGCTGGTGACATCACTCCTGCGCGCGGACAAGGTGCTGCACGAGCAGCAACTAGGATGGGCGTGGCACCCCCCCTCGGCGGATCTATTCCAACCGGTGGGGAATCTGCCCGCGGAGGGGGGAGAGAATGAGGCGCCGGAGGACCCCCCCGGGGAGCGCGAGGGGAGCTGGCTAGAGGCGGTCGGGGAAGAGTACCGACAGATGCTGCAGATGCTGTGCGACGAAGCGGGCTATCTGGTGCCAGGGAAAGTCGAGGAGGTCGTACGCGGTGAGTGTTTCGGACGGTTTTCGGACGGTTTTCGGACACTTTTCAGAGACATCTTTGTCCGATCAATGAGCCTTGTGAGCAAATCGTGATTGACGCTTATGAAGGGTCGAGCCGGGAGGTCGTACGCGGTGAGTTTCCGGACGGGTTAACACGCCAACTCAAATGGAAGCTCAGTTGTTAACACGGCAACTCAAATGGAAGCTCAGTTGGGCAGTTTTCGGACGTTATTCGGACCATGTCGTACGCGCTAATTGAAGAAGTAGTACGCGGGCCTGATTAATATCATGACAGTTCCTTTCTGAAACTTTGCCCAGAGGCGTTCGGCAGGCTGTCCGCGTTGAGACCTCGGACGCATGACGGTTTCGGTCGATCTGGATCGACAGCAGTTCGGCGTCTTCCACGTTCTGGGCCGTAAGTGGCTTGGTATCTGCACGCCAACGGCTTTGCCGTGAGCTTTGACACTTTTGACGGGCAATCAAAAGCTCCGGGCTTCAACGAACCTGTCGTGCTGGATTCTTGGTCGAGGCCGTGAAAATTGAGTAAGACATTTCCGTTATATGGACTCTGAAAAAGCTCAAGGTAGGCCGTCTATCATCAAGACGTTTCGACCCTCCATCTGAAGAAGGCAATATGTGCCCAAAACAGAAATACGCTTGTCGCGCATCGACGCGCATGAAGAACGCTTAAGAGGGCGTCCCCCACGTGGCCCTCCGGCGACTTACAGTCCTTGAGACGTGACCACGTGTCGCTGCAACTCTTTGTGCACGTGCTTTTTGGGGCGGCCGTCCGAGCGCAACCTCCGCTAAACAGTCGCTCAGGGTACCGGTCCAGCGACGCCTTCTTTCCTGTGTCTGTCTATCATGCGGGCGCTATATGCGAAGAAACAGTACCCTTCACGCCAAATTTGAACGCTTCGCTGAAAGCTGATCCAGTCTTCTTTACCCTGAACTCGACCCATTATCGTACTTATTGCTGCACAGAACCCTGATGACGGCACCACTTTCCCTTCGCTGAAGTCAGCAAATATCTCTTTCTCGCAGACGCCTCCCAAGGCCCTTCCCTCGTGTCGGTCGACGCCCTCTTAGGCTGCCTCGGAGTCTCTTCTCCGGTCGCCCTCGCCAGTCTGCAGTCCTACCTTACACAGGGCTCGGAGAGGGATCCCCCTGGCACGATCCCCCCAGACCGCGTGGCGCGCCAGCTGCGGGCTTTCGTGGAAGCCCAGTTGAAGATAACCGGGGGTTACCAGAGCCTGAAACTGACGAAGAGCCTGAGTCGGAAAACGACCGGGTTACGGGAACCGGGCGAGGAGCGGGAGTACTGGCAGCGAATGGCGAACGTGGTCGCGGAGAAGAGCGCGCGCGCGTGGGGCGCGCTCGAGGCGGCGCAGATGCAGTACCATAAGCTGCTGACGCAGAGGTGAGCGGCTATAAGAGGATCCCTTGAGTGTAAATCCGTGGAAGCAGTCTTTCTTCTTAGGAGACCTTGCATTGGCAGTGAAGAGGCTGGACTTGTATCCATGAGACTGTCGTTGCCAGATACGGCGATGGATGTCGAGACATGATCTCAAAATACAGTTGCAAGCTCTTCCTACACTATGGCGGGCCGAGGCAACTGTTCGAGGCCGTCACTCGATTCTCATAGTCCCACCTTCATTTGTTGGGTTGAAAAGTTAAAGTCAAGTCCTTCAGTTGCTCAGTTGGGGAATGCAAGCCGCAAGTCACTGTCTGCAACAGTCAATATGATGTTTGTGTTTCAGAAGAAGGCTTCATTTTTTTGCATCTGAAGCGATTCGTGCTTTTCCCGATGCTCGCCACTCCGGTTGACGTCGTGGCTTCGTCTTTTGCAGAGCGAACACTTTGGAAGATATCCGGGCAATCGAGAGCCAAAACACGGAGATCCGGCAGCTGCTCTCACAATACATGGCTGCCAAGGTACGTCACATACACAAAGCACTTCTTAACCTGATGGTATCAGACAGCGATCGACGAATAATAAAGTACGACAGACATTCAAAAAGTCTTTGCCATGCTTCCTAAAATCTTGAATTTGAGAGCTTATTTTCGGCCCAGCAGCTACTGCTCTGCCTTGGTGGGCAGACTTTGTGCCCAAAAGAAACATTCACCCAAAATGTGACCGTTTCTGCTGTTGTTCCGCTGGAACGCGGACCTGGAGACGACGCGAGCGCGGAAAGGTGGCTCTGGCGACGAGTTGCTGTCTTCGAGCCCTTCAAAGTCGCCCAATGGCACTCAACCCCAGAGCCACCAAGCTTTTGACAAATTCTTTCTCTTGAGAACCGTCATCAAAGACTTTCCGCTGCAGGTTAATGATCAACTCAAGTTTCCGCCATCGTCCCAGCTGATCTTGCAAGCCTGATTGGGTACGGAACCTGAAGTGTACATAGTCTGTGAGCCAAGTGGTCAACAGTCGGCAGGGCTGACACCATCAAACTTATTTAAACGTTTTGAACCGACAGTCGTTTTATAATCTATCTCGGCGATCGACCCGCTAGATCTCTGCGTAAGCCGCAACGAATTCGATTGCATGGGCGACCTTGTGACGTGATTACTATGAGTCATCATCAGTTTCTTCGCATGGGGTCCTGGCACGTACATGTCAGGACGTCTGAGCCAGCTTACTCACGGATGTCCTTCATTCAAGTAAGTCTTGTGAAAACTGGTTATGCCACTGTGGGCCGGATCCTGCAGAGATCGCACTATTTGAGGATATGACGGTACTAAATCGAACGGGGACAGTCGGCTTTGCGCTTGTGCTCACGCTCATCATAGCTCACTTTTCACGGTTTGGTGCATCATATGAGCTAAGATCGCCACGGCGGCGCTGGCATGGGGTTGCACAGTCAGGCAAGCCTTGTGCCAAGCTGCCGCCATGACTACGTGGGCCCGCTCAAAGCAGTGTTTGTGCATTGAAGTGCGTCCATGTATAAGCGTCATGCAAATTATTATTACTCACATGGCCTTACGAGACGTAAACATGCACATGATCGCCCGTTATACGGCGCCACGCATTGAATGTTCTATCTCGCGAAGTTCAGCGAGTATTATCAAACTAAATGGCTGCGCTTCCAAATGCTCGTGGTACATACGCAACTCAAGTCGTATATGTTGTTGTGCCATGCGCAATTATGGCTTGGTTTCCATTGGTCCGACCCCATAAGAACATAAAATATGGCGTACATGTATAGGTGGGATCAAGCTACTGTAGCTGGTCGGGACGGTTGGATTCGCAGTACACCAGGAAATCCAATCATATCTAGAGCGACCTGATTGGCGAGAGAGCACGTGCATGTGGGCGGGCATACCTCCGCGCGGCAATCCTATGCAGCACGGATCGAAGAGGCCCACCATAACCTCTCACAAAAAAAATCAACATGAACATGTGAGCTCCGTGCACCCGATATGTGCATATGGCTATGTCGTCTGTCTAGTGCACAAGCCGAACCTCTGCTCTTCTGCCATGCTGTCCCGCTTAACAATCCAATCCAAGGACTCTTCCGATCGCACCTGCGTTTAACCCTGCGACAAGGGCCCCTTGTAGTCACCCACGAGCTTCCGTGCTTTGTACAGGTGGCTTAACAACCAGAACAGCGGCTTCTCAAACGCGTACATTAGCCCCAGGAAAATGAACGGCAAGAGCAGCGCATGGAGCATAATCCACATCTGCGTCAGGATCGAACTGATCGCAGCTAGCGCGATGAGGATCTTGCGCTCCTTGGGCGTGCTGTTGTACGGGTTCAGCGACTCTTCTTTGAAGTTCTTCTCCCATAGCTTCTTCCGCTCCTCCGGGGTTATAGTAATCATGTTCCGTTCCCAAGGTTTCATTCCTCGGGGCCCAACCCACTCCCCGAGCGGTTGATAGCCCGGCGTCTCCGGCTGATCGCTTTTGTCCGGGTACTCATAAGCTACGCTCCGGCCGATCGTCGGGAGCTCCACTTCCGGAAGACCGGGGACCCCCGCCGACCCATGCAAAAGGTTTATTGAACCCAGGGCGCTAACCGAAGAGAGAACCGCCCGTGAGAGAACGAACGCATAGCCTAGCACAGGGAAAACGCTGGACAAGTCGGGACATTCGGGGAAGAAGTTCAGCTCGTGCAGCAATTGCCGGCCGTCGATTGTGCGGATGCGCTTCCGGTAAAAGCGCTCGGCCCGGAGAAGTGTGAAAAGGACCTTCATTTGCGAGGGGATGTACCGTCCGGAAACGAACCAGAGGAGCAACCGGCCAGCAGCGATTGCAGACGCTGTGAGGCGGCGGAAATGTGGGGATGCTGACGTGAGGGCTTGTTGACAGGCGGGAATACGGAGGGCGAGCAGAAGAGGGGCTGGGAGCCGCACTGGGGGGGTGTTTGCTTGGCTGGCGAAGGGGGGGGTTTGAGGGGAGGACTCGAGACTGGGACTTGGATTTGTCTGGGCTTGATCAGGGAGTGGTTGAAACTCTGGACGGGTGGATGAGCGGATGGGCCGTGCCCGTTCGGATCTGCAATAGAGCGATAGGTTCAGAGAAATATTTTGCTGTCAAGCGCTGACCAGATGTGGTATCAAGATAGAAGTTCTTGGTGTAGCAGGAACGGACATTTCCGTTGCCGAATCTCTGAATGAACGAGTCTGCTACCTGGGCCCGAAACGAACCAGATGTCGGTGCTGAAAAAGTCTACAGCAGAAGACGGTCAAGACTCTTCAGCAGGATTAAAACTAGAACCAGTCAATCGGTGTGACCAAAGTGTATCCGTACTGCTGGTCACTGCTGAGCGGTCGGGTCTGCTAGCTAACGACACGTATTACGAGGCAGCTAAGAAGAAACACAACGCGCAGGTGACATACTGGAAGGAAGATACCAGTGGACAAGGACCACGATCCTTTAAAAGCGGGCTGCAAGGCTTTGGCTTAACTCAGTGGTTAAAGACTCCTAATACTCGGTTCGGATGCGTCCACCGATTTCACAAACCGAGCAAACCCGAGCTCAGTTTCGGCGAGTATCTGGAAAGTTGCCCAACCACGCCCTTGACTCGACCGGACTTCAAAGTGGCGTGGAGGTGAAAACCAGCGGCGGTCGACGGAGGGGGTGTTTTGGAAAAAGAAAACACCGCCCGATCTGGCCACTTTTCGGTGGTTCTCGGTGGTTTGCGAGAACCACCCGAACGAGAAACTGCCAGGCAAGTTTTGAATGTCTTTTTCGCACCACCACTCCCAGGGCCGCTTAGCAATACGAGGTCAGACTCTCTCACTGCAAAAACTCAAATAGTGAGTGCGTACCTGCTTCCCCTGGTTCTTGAAACAGGCATCCTATGCCCTTGCAGTTGTCGGCACAGCTGCAATGGGTTTGACTGCGGGTTCATCGGCAGAAGGCCCTGTGCCTGGAGAGCCCCCAGAGTGCATTGCCTGGCGGCTTTCATCGCCGGAACAGAACAGGGTCTGCGGAAAGATGGAGGAGGAATTTACAGCAATCCGAACAAAGATTGAGTTATCTTAGGCCCCAGTGATGAGAAGGTATGTAGCAGATATACAAAACCTGAAGAAAGAAGCGAAGTTCGACTCCCTCAGTGGAATACATGCACAGGCCAAAACCCCTGCAAGACGGGACTCGTCACAGCAGCAAAAGTTGCGGGGAGCAGAACAGGAAGGGGGAGGACTTCTGGGAGTCCACGAACTTATGTCAAGATAGATAAAAAGATATCATTCTCCACCTCCATCTCCACCGGTATCCACCTCAACCAAGGAGGATCTGAGCAAGTAATTGATGCCAGAATGTAACGCTCCACACCACAATTCGTACTCGCTGAATCCATGCTGAATGACAGGCATCAATTTGGCATCATAAGGCGATGGAAAACAGTTAATCAACAGAGCAGAGGTTGAAGCAAGAATTGAGTCTACTCCTAAGTTTGTCTAAACCAGTCTGACTGAACCACTTTTGCCACCCGGCATGCGTCAAGTGCCAAACATTCAGCAGCAGCTACTGAAAGCACAAAGGGATTGGCACCCTGATGCAAGCTCATTTTCAACTTTTGGAGTACTTATAGACAGCACCGTCTCCAAGAGACACACAATGATGAAGCTGCCATGTAAGAATGGCGCTCTGATGGTGCTAACAACAACACAATCAGAAGAACTTGGCGGCATTCCCTCTCAAAGCACGTTCAGCTGGTTGATAGCATTTGCTTAAGCTGCAAACCACCGAGCAATGCAGAAAGCTTACCTAACCACCGATGAATCCAAAACCGCTCGCATGCCACCAACTTTGGAAAGCGCCGCTGAAGTGCGCAGAGCAAGCGTCGCCTCCATTCTGTGTGGACGAAGCGCAGATAGAGCAGGGTCAAACAAACGCTGTAGAGCCGTGGACAAGCTGACGCTGAAGAAAGGGGTATGTGAAAGCTACCTAGCAGTCACAACGCGGGTCGCCATTGGCATTGGCCATCGAAGCAATCGTGCTTTGCCAATGCCAGCAGAACTGTCCAGCTCCAGCTTTTCACTGAGTGGCAGGGACTCGGTCACGCAAAAACGTTAATGGTTACTCTAACCGGGGCCTGGGCAAAATGCACAAAACCGTTGGGTTAAAGCCTTTAACTATTAATATTATCTCTAACATGGAGTGGAAGAAGGCTCTTGAAAATGACACTTTCCAACTGGCTCCAACTTCAAACCCAAGACTGAAGAAAGAGGGGATGCATTTGGATGCAATGGCGCTTGTGAAACTTAGATCGAAAAGCCCTTCAGGTTGTGTTGGAGGACTTGAGCTGGGGAGAAGCTTGCAGCACACAACGAATGAGCTGAATTGTCCGCTCGAATGCAGAGAACGGTCATTCGTAAAGGCACCAATGCAATCAAGCGCAGTGCACAACCATGCTTGGTCACTCTTAGCAAAAGACACGCTGCATTGGAATCCTCGGAGGCCAATCAAGCCTGTGCCGTCGCAACTTCCTTGTCATCTTAGGTCAACATTCTCGGGACAATTGATAGTCCACGCATTACGATCTTCGAGAGCGCCCCTCCGTGATTGGCATAAACCAAAGGGAATTCGAGCGAGTAGCGAGTTCTGGTATGAAGAGGAGGTCGAATTCGATGTCAATGAAATTGTGCGGCCGAAGCGGATAGTTCTGATGAGGTGTGCGGAGCATAGCATGGAGGAGTGAGTCGCTCTTTATCTTTGATCGAATGTTGGTACATCTTTAGTGAGGGTCTTTAAGCTCAAATAAGCATCTGTAAGGAAGGTCGAATCAGTTCTCACCTACTTCAGCCTATGTAAGGGGAACATAGCAAGGGGGCGCTGACTTGGCCAAAGCGTGAAGCGAAGTAGCACTTTAAAATACTATCTTGGAGGTCTCTGCTTCCTTCCCAAAATGTTGAAAGGGTGATGGACCTCTCTCATGTACATCCACTTGCTTTTGAGTCGTCTGAATGTTTTAAAAACCAAATGTTTTCTAAATGGTCCCTAAAGTATCTCCTGCTTCAAGATAGAGGCTGTCTTGTGGCCAGGAGAGGTCGATCAATCTTCAAGATTGTGTCCAAGTAAACTTTGCCCAAGTGACGGCAACTTTTTTTCAAGACAAGACCGTGCAGTTCTGATTATTTAAAGGAAGAGTTCCATACATGAGTTACCTGGCCTTCAATGACCCTGGCTTTTATTCTTGGATTATTTTTCACAATACCTCACACTTTAAAAAGATGGGCGGGTCAGGGGCACGATGGTCTGGTCCCAGTTCACATTCTGTCAGTCTTCACATAAGGCCCTCTTTGCTTTGAAGAAGTTTCTGATGATACCACTTTGTTCATCAGGTTGGATGCGTCTGATGCATCGGGACCTGCCAAAAGCTCGACGCTGACTCAGCGCGGTCGAGAGCAGGTGGAACGGGCGCGTTCCATGTGTGAGCGTTTCAACTTCCAGGCAGCATTCTGCAGCCCCGAGGCGGCTGTGGAAGAGACCGCCGACATTATGTGGGAGAAGCGGGGGGGACCTCCCTATTTCAGGTGAGGTTAGTTCCTTAGCTTTTGAAGATTCGTTCTTCTTACGTGCAGGTTCGTATTTCTCTTTTCAATTTCTGCTTCGACTCTGATTCTACACTTGTCATCCCCAATTGGCCTGGGAAAGATCTGGTCACCCGTAAGAGCAGAATTCAACATAACGTTCAGCTTCAATTGCTTGGAAAGGAAGCTGCTTCAAGCCAGTCTCTTTGTGCACGATGTGGCCACAACGTGTGGCGCTCCAAGGCGCCTTGGAAACACCGCAGGACGTTTACTGACGATGCGTTCGGCTCCAAACAGCTGCTCGCAAGCTAGTTTCTGAGCAGGATCTAACGGAATCGCACGTCTGGGGCCGTTCTGTCTTGCAGAAGTCCAAATAGCTTGTGAAACAATTGGCCGATGAGCACATCCCCCCACGTTACAGAACAAGCACGACCCGCATTTTTGAGCCTTCCAAATATCCGAACCTGCAAACGGAAGTTTGCCTACTGCTTCCCTCCTTCCAAGTTTCGAGCTGATAAGAGATTTGCAGACTCCCGCGGTTTCCGTCAAGTCTTATCGTGAAGATCCGCCTATTTGACACCTCACTTTCTGTGCAAGGAAAGTACGGCCGCGGGCGACTCTCCAAGGTCTAGGAGGCTCTTCCGGAACCAGTGCCACGTCATCCCCAGGTGCTGAGGTGGCAGCGCCTCATTGGGACACCAGGTTGGTTGGCGAATGCTTTTACCAAGCGTTTGGACATCTTCAGAGCTTGACTGCACAATGGAAGTGTCTCGCAAATCTGTTGAGGATCCTCTTTTCCCGGAGTCAGGACGCAAGGGACTTTCCTAGCAAGTTTAATACATGGAAGCAAATGCTGCGCCAAAGAGATCAGATCCCAAAGAGACTGAGCTTTCCACAGCTATCTCAAATGCCCTCGAACGGACCTATTACGAAGACAGAATAAATCGTCCGCATCATAGAATATCTGGCATAGGCGAGGGAAAGGGTGCAACAGTTACTGCTTCTGATTCCAGACAAAGAATCGGAGGCGCCGAAAACAGAAGGCGTCGTTAGAGATGACGTCAAAAGACAGTAAAGAATCCTGAACGCGCGAGATTTGTGTGACGAGGCCGGAATTGTTTTCATCGTCGCTGTCGAGTATACGTCCCAAAGATTCGTTCCCAGTTCGAAAAGGCTTGGGAGACTGGCAACTTAGATTAAACCACAGCTTAGGAGCGTCCAAATCGAAAGGCGTTCGGAATGGACCTGTCCGACTTCAAAATCAGCCTGGCCGTCCGAGTGTCTTATCAAGCGAGGACGTCCGAAACTCACAGCCTTCAAGTTCTGTGCAGCGCAGAGGGCCGCCTACTCACTGAGGCCAAGGAATTCCTGACAGAGGTGAGGTCCGTAACCGGAGTTTCGGGTCTTTCGTTCGTGAGGGACCATCTTAGTGTTCTTTATCATGAGATGAAATAAGCAATGATAAATGCTCAGTCACTTTACTTTGACACGATGGCTCCATGCTTCGGACGGGCTTATATTTGAAGAATAAACCTTTTGGGACGCCTAACATCTCGACTGTTGGATGTATCATAAGACGACAAAGTGGTGTTTGAGTCCTTTTTCAGAGGAGTTCCCGCTCGTTGGTCGTACGCTCTAACAACGTTGAAGCAGCGGCAGGTCAAGAGCTAGCTGGGCCTATTTCAAGGGAACTGGTCGTTTCAAAACTAAGCGCTTCTAATCAGACAGCTCGCAACAAGGGAATCGCAATTTCAGGGGAAATTGACCGTATCAAGTCGTGCTTTAACTAAGACTGGCGCCTGACCATCCTAGAATCGTCGTTTCTGGAAATCAAAGCCGTTACTCAAGAGGCTTGGCAGTTTCGAAGTCGAGATTTCCACTCCAGGTGTTTGAGCAGTTGCCCCTTGAACTGTCGTAACTTTAGCCATTCCGTATTTTAAAACAGCTATGCTTGCTTGGATGTTAGAAGAGACCTCAACGTGATAACCGCGCCTTCTCAGGTCTGCACCATCAACTGGAGCACGGAGCTGACGGAAGGTTTAGGCGGGGTTTACCTTGACCCGGCAAAAGACCGAGAGGACATCCTAGTGGTGAGTAGTCAGGACTTTCTGCATTCCGCGGTCATCGAGCCCGTTCACACCTGACGCTGTGACAGAGCTTCCAGCATATCTGAGTCAGTGAGGATCAGTTTTGTTACTAGTTGCAAAGTCATGATGACCAGCTTCTAGGCCTCCAGTCCTGAAGACGCATTGCACTTCTGCACACCAACTTGACGGCCTAGCTCAATGGGAAGGTTACGGTTTGTCATTGATACCTGGGAGGCGCAACTGACGAGGTCTCCCATTTGCTCGACAACCTTGACAGCACGGTCAAGTGCGCAGCAAAACCGCTTTCACACTACCCTTGCAAGGAAGTCCCTTTCGTCTTAGCAACCGCAAAAACAATATTTTCGTCGGCGGAAAACGCTAGCGTTTGCGAACGCCGAAAGGCTAGGGCTCTCTCGTAAGTCGTTGCAGTCGGTGGAAACGCTATCCTTGACCATTTCGTGCTTCAGAAGCGGTGGGGCAAAGGCTTGTAGATCCGGACACACTCAGCGCTAGCTGGAAGAAAAGGAAGTCTAGCACATTCTGGTCAACGCAAGACCTTGGGAGGCGCGTCGAACGGAATGTGGTTCTTTTCTCTGGGTTCCAGCCAAGTCTTGCAGGCCTTCTTGACCACGTCCTGCCTGAGAATCTCAACAAAAAGCTCACTGACCAAATTCAAATGTTCAAATCATCTACAGTTCTTTTGGCACTCTGATCGACTCGAAAGGGTTCGGAGAACCTGGAAGACGGCGACGTTATGGGAAACGAACCACTTGCATACTCACGCATCTGCTCTTTCCTCAGGTTTCGCACGCCTCGAGTCTAGCGGCGCTCGTAGCGGTGGCGCTACGAGCCCCAGAAACCGTGCGCGCTCTGGTCTTCGATCCGGGCAGCCTGACGTAAGCCTGACATTATTCCGTTTGGCGCTTCTTCAAGCAACGCGCTCTTCGACCCCTCTTACCTGCCTTTGCCTCCACCTTCGCCTCTTCCGTGTCCGTTTTGCTTGGAGCAAGCTTTCTTGGCTGATATCTCTTGTTTGGTCGACTCTAGATGCCGGAGTGTGCTCGCTGAGCGGTGACAAGCCGACCTAGTTTTTTCAAAGTGTGCTTAACTAGCGCTCTGTGAGCAGCTTCAATAACGTGTGCTGTAGTCTGTCCGCTCCCGATTCCGTCTCGCGTTTCGGTCGTCAAAGGTTGCTAGATAGCCTTTTCCAGAGTTGCTGCCAATGATGCACGGTAAAGTCCGAGAAAGTCTATATACTAAGTGTGCCTAGCAGCCTTTTGGTCCTCAAAGAGGGACCTATCTTTCAACGCCCGTAGCGAGGGGTTAGGGATGTTTCTGTGGCTTATGAGTCTTGTCTTCTTTCTGTAGGATCCTTGATTACAGCGGTAGCGGTGGCTCTATACCCACTGCGAAAACGGAACTGAAAAAAAGCACGAACCCGCTTGATCGATATGAGAATGGACTCCCGGGCACTTTCAAACTATGCTCTCTAGACCTCGAACTTTCTAAATGAGGGAGCACTCGTCTATTGCTTGAGCAGAAGTACGAAGTAGCGCACTATCCGTTGTGACTCTAACATCCATGCACTGAAGAACATCCCCTGTGCGGTCGCAATCGTGGTGCGCAATGACGTCAGTATGGACAGTGTAGCAAGCCCGTGCTAGTCAATTTAGAGCATGGGGCCCAACTGTGACAGTTGAATCAAGTTGACGCGACACGTGCATCCAGTCGATGTAAGCCTGGTATACAACATGATACCTTGCGTCAGTTGCATAAAGTCCAAGTGGACGGTAGATAGTCAATCTACGAACGACATGCTAGCATGTGACCTAATCTGGATTATTTGCAGTACTGAGAATCTCGAAAAGTTTGATGCATCAGATGCAAGATCTGAATGGTTCTGTGCTTGTCGGATTCGGAGCTCTGCTATTCGTATTGTACGGTATATACTTGCATCTAGCTGTCTGAGCGGCGGCCGGGGACTCAATGTCTATACTCCACATGGCGTGATATCAACGTTTTCTCTTAGAGTCACCTAGCTTGCATTCATAATGTAATGGTCATTCGCCACAGTGAATTTGTAATGTCAAGTCGTCAATGATAATGTAGCTGTTGCTTGGATGAACATGGCCGAGAAAAGCCGCCCTGGTCATGCTTAATTGCATCCGCTCGAAGCAATGATGCACGAAGGTCAAGATCAGGTACGCGGTTGCAAAGCTTGACTCAGACTTAAGCCGTGTTGAAGTGGGACTCGATCATTACATGTGTTGCTATGCATGACGCCCATGGAAGATCGATCAAGCTTCAATCTGTAAAACCCCTTCAAAGCACGCGTCCATCATGAAGGTTCTACCGTAACTCCTACAACTGTGTAACTTCGTCTTGACCTGAAGCGACTTCCTGGAGTGTTTCTGACTAAGGAGGACCTGTACTTAGACCAGAACAATGTATGCACCGTCTATGAGTAAGCACTTATTGTGACGCACGTACCGTACGAGGTTCAGGAAAGCGTTACTTGGTACGGCGCTCAAGACCTCGAAAACATGCCCAGAAGTCTCGCTTAACTTCAACGTATCGACTCTTCTGAAGCTCCACTCAACCAAGTCTAATCCCCTACATTTGGAACGGCGATGACGTCACCTTTTGCTCTATTATGCAGTAGGAGCGGCGTCGAGATGCTTGGCTGACAACTCCTTGCCGAGCCTGACCGGCATGTGGATGAAGTTGTCCACTCGGGTGTGCCATTTGACAACGAAATCGAAAACTGCACGCAGAAGGAATCCGTGGTCAGCATTCGACGAACGAACTTGAAAACTGTATTAATATGGAGATTCATTGCATCGTTAGCGACGACGAAGTTGCATCGCCTGGGTTGCTGGACAACCTCCCAAGACTCCCGAGAAAGTCAGTGTCTCAGACGCCCTGAACCGGAGCGTTCGGAGCCGGGGCACTTCCGATTCTCCTTTCGAAGCGCTCGCCCAAAGCGCCGGACAGCCGCCGCAGGCCCCCCACTCTTTTCGATTGTTTGCATCCACAAATTGAAAAAACAACCGTGAATGCCAAGGAATCCTACCGGGAATGTCGGTGTCATCATTGCCGAAGGGCTCCGCCAGGTTGTTGGACAGCTCATGCAGGGCTAACTAGCAAGAAGCTCCAGATCTTCAAACATTTCTCACAATCCCAAAACAAATGATGAACCAAGAAATCCTACCGGGAATATCGGTGTCATCGTTGCCGAAGGGCTCCGCCAGGTTGTTGGACAGCTCGCGCAGGGCTGTCACCAGCAAAAAGCTCCAAATCTTCAAACATTTCTCCCAATCCCAAAACAAATGATAAACCAAGGAAACCTACCGGGGATGTCGGTGTCATCATTGCCGAAGGGCTCCGCCAGATTGTTGGACAGCTCGCGCAGGCCCTGGAAGGCGAGCGCGTTGAGGAAGAACGCGATGATGCCCCAGTAGTACGAGTAGAAGACCCACTGGTACGCGCACAGGAGCAGCCACGTGTTGTTGATGAACGTGATGTAGTGGTACATCGCAAACGGCACCTGCGAGGGGATCCTTAGGACTAAGCGCTCTTCGCTTTTCCGAGGGTTTTGAAGCTTCAAATTCTTGTTTTAGGGCTTGCAGTCTTTCGTGAAGACTGGTACGCGCACCGGAGCAACCAAGTAATGTTGATGAACGTTAGTAATGGTATATCGCAAACGGCACCTGCGGGGGGATCCCCACAGATTTAGGGCCCTTGGCAAAAGAGATATCGAAGCTTTAGGGTTTCGTAGGATCTGGTTATAGGGCTCGGAATTCTGGGTGAAGATATCGAGGCTTCGGCGGCACCGGCTGTTCCGCTGTGATAGAAGAGAAGGTTGTTTAAGATCCCCGGTTCTCTTGAACATGCGGAAGCGTCCATGGTCTGAACGTTGAAAGCGAACTACATCTTGATGCCGCCCACCTGGTGCTCGGTGGTCACACAAAGCGGAACGGTTGTCTTAGCCCAACACTCGGAAGCGGTTATTGCGACCCAGGACTCTGATATGTTTCGTTTCCGCACTGCGCATTTCCCAGTCACCTACGGGGCTTACCGGTTGCTCGGTGGTGGCGTAGAGCGTCAGGAAGTTGTTCTCGATGCCCAAGATCTCGGCCCCAATCTTATAAACGTCAATTGTGACTCATTTCGGCTTTCCTAAAACTTCAAAGGTCTGCAAACTGAGCATTCTCTCAACCAATTGGCGGGGCTTACCGGTTGCTCGGTGGTGGCGTAGAGCGTGAGGAAGTTGTTCTCGATGCCCGAGATCTCCGCCCCGATCTCGCCAGCAATGCCGCCGTCCAGCTTGCCCATGCGCACGAACTTGAAGAGCAGCTGCGTGCAGCTCGTCGTAATCTGGGTCAGAGACGGAGAAAAGTCAGAACCCTGTCCGACTCGTAAGAAAGTTTACTAAATCAGGGGATGGTACTGAAGTGTTGGGGGCAAGCGCCCATGCGCAACAACTTGAACAGCAGCTGCGTGCGGTTCGTCGTGATCTGGGTCAAAAACGCGGCTTAAGTTAGAACCCTGTTCCGACTCGTAAGAAACTTCACGCAATCAGGGTTTGTGAACGGTTGGATAATGCGCACGAACTTGAAGAGCAGCTGCGTGCAGCACTCGTGATCTGCGTCAAAAAGCGCTGAAGTCAGGACCGCATCCCAACCTTGATGTGAATCCAGTCAGCAATAATACCACTTCCAATCCGCTTGATCCGAATCCAGCAGTGGTACTTTCACGGGAATACTCCAAGCCTAAGAGCAGCTGCGTGCAGCTCGTTGCAATCTGCGTCAAAAGATGTTTACTTCAGAACTGTGTTCCAGCGAAGGTAAGCTGATGCTTCCGATCGGTTGGTTGTGACGAGGAGTGTTGAATTCATGATTGGATGCACGCCCCTATCCCAAACTTGGTCGGAAAGTGTATGCAAGACCCTCACCTCAGTGATAGGGTACTCGCCGACCGGGAGTGCCATGAGGTGCTGCTTCTCATACAGACCGATAAGGCCGTACTCGTTCACCCGCTCCCACGCCCACTCGTCGACCTGGAGCAGAGGAAACCAGACGAGAGTTGAAAGGAGTCCTTTCAATACTTGTTAAGAACAAAAAATCCCGCTTCGTTACCGCTCAACCTGATGCCCCTGACGGATGCTTTACCGCTCAACCAATCAAACCAGTCAGCTTAACGATGCATGCAATCTGGTCGTTTGCGACTCTCGTAAGGTGTTCAGCCGCGAGGCGAAGAAGCATGTGTTAGGGCTCAGGAAACAGTCAGCGCGGAAAGCCCAGGTCAAGTGTACGCCACGTTGAGAAGAGCTCAGCACACCTGAAAGTCACGTCAAGACTCCGTGCCAACAATGCTTTGACCGGCACACACCAGACTAGGCCGTCCGAAGTACAATAAGGATAACTGCGTTTTCAACACAATGCTAGAGTGTTGAGTCGCGCTGACCTGGTTCTCCCGGTACGTGGGGAGCCAGCCGAAGCCGAGGTACATCTGGGCGACCACCCACTTGGCGACGGTAGTGCGCAGGTCGCCGGCGCCCTCGAAGGCGTCGTCCGGCAGGTGCGTGCGCAGCAGGTTCAGCACGTTGTTGATGTTGATCTCGACCGCACGAACGGTGCCGTACTGCTGGAAGAACCTGAGGGGAGAGACCCTGACGTCAGCAAAAAGGTGCGAATATGTGCGTACTGTAGGGGAGAGAGCGCTGACGTCAGCGAAGGCGTACGAAATCGGTGGGCACGCAGCAGGTCAGCACGTTGTTGATGTTGATCTCGACAGCGCGCACGGTGCCGTACTGCTGGAAGAACCTGAGAGAAGACACCGCTGACGTCACCGGAGGCGCGGTGGATAGTGACGTAGCTCAGATCCCTGCTGACGTCTGGGAAGCTATTCACAGGTTGGGTCTGCGAAGGAGGCTGGCGAGGACGATTCCGCGAACACGACTGAAGGTCCGAGGACAATATTCTTTCTGTCGAGTGTCACTGTCCTCTCGCTATGGATTATATTCGACCAGTTCCTTTTCGCTTTTCAATTCCAACCGGCTCGTTCTCTCCCTCGAAGAGGAAAGGGTTGAGCGACTGGTGGAATTGGCCAAAGTAAGGCGCCCGATCTTGCTTGGAGGAGACATGTAGACTTCTGATGTTTCGCCAGCGCTTTGTCGTCTCCACCTTTTACGCAATCTGAGAATGTGGATCGAAGCGAATGGTCTGCAATGCCGGCAGGCTTTCGTGTAGTTGCTATCAAATTTCGCTGCATGTTTCTTAAGAAACAGTCTCCAGGAACTTGGCTGGGGGACTTTATGAGTAGGGGGAAAACCTAGCTTGAGGAATATATCAAGCGTGAGGTAAGAAATAAGATTTACTGAAAAGCAAAACGAAGATCAGAGAGTTTGCATCGAGTGATTGTCAAGTTCGTCCCGCACGAGCGCCTAAAAAGCACAAACTCTCTCAAGCAGGTTGGTGCAACATGTTTGCTCTTCTCTTCGCTTCATCGTCTTTCAGAGCAATCGAAAAGCAAGAACGGACGAACAGTTTAAACCTACCTCGCATAGCAGTCGCTTGCGTGAAAGACGAGCATGAAAGAGACCATGCCTCCGAGGACGTTGTAGATGTAGTTGCTGATGTAGGGGAAGCGCCCCGTCTCAAAGGCGCCGTCGAAGTTCTCGTGGTTGAACTTGACCGAGTAGTAGATGATCGAGACAACAATGTTGACGACCATTAGGAACCAGAAGAAGGCGCTGGTGAAACACATCTTCAGCACGGTGCCTGGGACGAACAACAGAGGCAAAGGGTGAGACTGAAGCTGAAGCCTTGACAACTTGCAAACACGACAGCTTGTTCTGGATGATGTTGGGATTTGAAGTGAGCGGCCCGTGCCTGGAACGCAGAAGCTATGAAGTGTTTTCACGATTACGGAGTCGGATGAGAAGTTTGATAGAATGGAAGCAGACGAAGGCTCTTGTGAACCACATCTTTAAGACAGTGCCTGGTACAAATGTCGGAGGCAAAGGGTCAGGCTGATGCTGAAGCTTTCAAAGCTTGCAACCACCACAACCCGGTTTCCCAAGAATGCAATCCGCTCCCGCCAACGTCCAACTGTTCCATCCAAGTACCTCTTTGAACTTTCAAACTGGTGAGAAGCTGGAAAGAGCGCCCGTGCCTACAAGCAGTACCTGTTGAAATTTCATTCCTGAGCCTCAGAGGGTTTTCTAGTTTGTTGCTCGTGGAGAATCTGGAAGAGCAGGCCGGTGCTTTGAAATGAAAGTAGCTGAATATACAGGTCAGTATGGTCACAGCACCCCCATGCTTGAAAGCCTCGGTTGTCGAACCTGATAACGATGGGAGTCAGAAAAGACTGCTTGTAGAGAACGCTTTGAAAAGGGTGCCTGGAAAAGATAACGGACAAAAGATGATGCCTGGATCTGGTTTCTCAAGTCTTGGCTCGACTAAGTAAACCACTACACAAGGCGCTCGTGAAACTACCCTGAAGGCCCTCCCGCATGAATTAATAGCAAGATAGAAGTTGTGCGGAATGTTGAGTTACGGAAGATTGAACCGGATCAAAAGCGGTGGATAACTTTTTCAGCATATCTTGAGGGCATAACGCAACAGGCAGGATCGAATCGGCACACGAAGGGTGGAAGCTTTAAGGTGTAGATTCCAAAGTGATTTCAAGCCCCAACCTCACCGTTCTGACCTCAGAACTTGCGAAGCACCGGTTCAGACCGTTTCAGTCAGAGCTAATGAAAGATAGCACTTTGCTAATCAGGTCACATTTCTGATAACGTTACATAATCGTCCAATTCTGGAGAACCAGAAAGGCGCTCATGAAACGACCCTCAAGGACCGCAACTCTGTTCAGAGGCTACTGGAGAGGCCAGCTTCGTTTCGCTCCTCATGCTCGTCTCTGCCTTCTTTCGATCTTTTCCACTCCGAATCCGACTTCGAAACGACCAGAGACCCGCCACAGTCGTTTCGACTTTCAGCAACCGTGTGCTTACGATCAGAGGCGGACAGGTTCCAGCAGAAGGGGATTCATCAGCAAAGAGGGGATTTGTGCTTTAAACCACCAGCAAACCTTGATAAAACATCAGCGTCCTGAACTTCTACGTCAACCAGATGGTGTGAGCTTTCAAATGCGGTCCTTCAACCAACAGGACGGCTTCTGTTGGCTACATAAATAGATCAGGCAGTACGAGATTTATGCGTGCTTTGTACTTAGAACAAAGATAGAGGGGTGAGTCCCAAGCAGTAACCAATGAATAGCAAGAGGTTCGAAGCCTTGGATAAGAAAACTTACCTGAGAATGTGAAGACGTGCTTTAGGTAGTCATTTGGGTCGTAGAGGAATGTGGAGGGAGCAATCTGCAAGTGCAGAAACGTTCACTTAATCAGCGTGAAGCTCCGTCGCACAATCCGAGGGCAAAGTTCCCAACCTCTGTCCCAGAAGCATATACGAAAGCTGTAGCAGGACCATGGCCGAAGGGATTGCAGGGTCAAACTCTCTATTTGGAAAGCCCCTTTCTTCGAAGGCAGAGGCAACCTGTCTGGATAAGTGCGAATCTGCAACACCAGAAAGGGCTTTTCAAAGTGCAAGGTTTCATTGAATTACCAGATCTCTGGGTGTTTTCTGTTTGGTACAGTAAAGGGAGAGAGGAAGAGCTGATCTTGGAGACGAATATATGGCTTGCACGAGCACATGAAGGTGACGTTCGTTTTTGCAATCGAGACTAGTTTCGAAGAGTTTTGAATCACTTGACGCGGAATTACGGCGTGACCTGTCAACAAGTATTGAGTCTTGCGGACCCTTCTTTGACAATGCTTTGCTTGCGTTACCGTACACTTCCAAGCAACAGAACCAAATCTATTCAAAAGCGCTACTTCAGAGGAAGCGTTGCAAAAGATCAGAGCTCGGGAGATCGTCAAGTGGATATCACTTTCAGCAAGCTGTGAAGTGCCAAGTATGCCCAGAAGCTAGTTACATTGATAATCTACAGACCTTGACAGATCCTGCTCCCCAAAGGCCAGCATTCAACAAGCACAGCTTGACCCCACAGAGTTTCTAGCTTCCAAGTCCAAGTCCCTGAAACTGCAAAGCGTACAACTTCGCGCACAGTGCCCCCTCCTGAGCACAATTGACTGCTCAAAAACCTTAATGCGATACCTCAACCACTTTATAGACGAGTTTAATCTGACCTTGCCCTCCCTCCTGAGCTCCTCCACCGCTCGCATGTACACGTTCTCCGTTAGCGGCTTGAACAGGTTGCCATCGTTGTTCATGGCCGCCGGCAAGTCCGGCACAATTTTCCCCCCGTCGACCTCCATACCCCCATCGACCTCCATACCTCAACACTGGTTCTATAACCACTGGTAAGATGGCTGGTCAGGACAGCCTGCACAACAAATCAGTGCAGTGATGAGTGGTGTTGCTTCTGAACTGCTCGTTTTTGGAGTGAGTACATTTTGTAACCTCTCCTTTCTTGTCATATCCATTTGTTGCAGAGATGGAAGCAGACTGGCAGAGTCTTTGCTGGTCAAGTGTGGGCCAAAAACTGACTGGAGCTAGCTGCAATGGAGCATGATGGGGGTGATCAGCAACAGAGGCTGCAGCTTGCCAGGCACCCCCTGCTTTTCAAGTAGCCTGGGGGGCGGCAATGCTAGTTAACATTCAGGTGGACAAAGATGACGCTCCAAGATGGCGCCATGAAAAGTGAGAAGGTCTCTATAATGATGCTAGTTCAGGGCTGGTGCTCCTGGACCCATCCCAGGAGCAACAGGCGACAAGGATATCCGCGGAGGAGTGTGGGGGGGTATGATCTGACTGCTTCAAAGCTGGCACCGATTTCACTTTGAATCCTAATGGAGCACGCCAATGCCTAGTGTGCAAGGCATACAAGGCAGCAACAGGCAACTGGCAGAGTGAAGCGTGGAACATTAGAGGAATCCCTTCATGGACTGTGGGCCAACTTGGAACTTGCATTCACAAGTGACTACCTTTGGCAAAAATCATCTACAGAGGCTTTGGCTCAGACCGGGTAAGGGTTTCTCACAGCGTTTGTCAGGTTCGTTGAAAAACTGCTTCAAGCAAAGGCTTACGATGTTACCAGACTTCTCCCATGGCCGGTCTGGCCAACGTCGTACTTCAGCTGTTTCACATTCTATTTAAAAACCAGATTTTGGGGCACAGATCGTTGAACGTTTGGGGATTGCACGAGTCCTCAATCCATACGTATGGCTGAGCTTCCTGAAGGACCAGCAAGACCGCATAAATTCGGACGCTGCTGTATTATGGTGGTAAGAACAGACACACCTAAAAACCCCCGTCTAACCCTTGTATGACTCTTCTCAGCACGACATTTTGCATAACAATGTCAGCTGTCAGAATGTGCCAAAAAGCTCTGGCAAAATGTGCTAAGAGAGGCCTAACCGGAAAAGACCTGACTCAGAAGTTGTAAGCTGGAACAACAACCACCAGAAGGGAGCACTCCATTCACCCTTGCTTCACAAAATCCAGGCCGCAAACCAGAAGCTTCGGGTCATACAAGAATAAACCTCAACCTGAAATTATTTCCAGACCTAAACTGTCCCCAGACCACGATCTCTCCACCAAGAGTGTACTTGAAGCAGGTACGCACAATGCGTCAAGATGGTGCACATACGGGGACCTTCAGCAAAGTCCCTTGCGGCTAATTTCTCCTTTCCTGCTGGTGCTTTCTTGATGCTTATACAAAAGCCTCTGGTGATGCAGAATGAAGGTTGAAGCAACACTGATGGTTGGTCATCACTGTAGTCATTTGGCTTCTTAAAGTCCTGGTGTTAGAAAACTGAATATGCTGAGTGTCATAGAAAGGGCCTCCTGTGTCTCCTCCGCATCACCACATCAGAATTGGCAGGGTTCAGCCCAGCTTGCATCTTCACAACTGCATGACTAAAAAGCACTCGCAGCAACAGCAAGTAAAATGGCCCTCTTAAGGGCACTATTGACCAACTTGGGCAGTCATAGGTTGCACTCCTACACACCAATATTACAAGCTGTGTAGATTCCTCTAGAGCCCAGCAACTCTTGAGAGGCCCATCAAAGCTGCACTGGGATCCAGAGGGAGCTTTCTGTGCTGCTCTTTCGAGCACCTAAAGCGCAGAGGAAACCCAGGACAGATGAGAAGGAAAAGTAAAATTTCACCGGATTCAGACGTCTCAGCCTTTTAGTTTTCAGAGTTCTTGAGCTGTAGCATTTAGTGTGGTCTTTGTGCAGCCTGCAGGATCCTTCCATACAAGAGTAAAAATGAGTGGCTTGTCTAAGCACTCCAACCTTGGACCTTATGGGAACCGCCATTTGAACCATCATTACGAAAACAAAATCGTCAGCAAGGCTGCCAGAAGATGCGGAGGACAGTTGCACACACACTCGGCATACTGTTGATTGGACCAGAGGTAGAAAGAGGGCAAGAATGATGCAGTCAGAACCTACCTTTTTCCAGAAAATTGCGCGAGGTGCGAGTCTAGTTTTACAAGGCTTCTCGCATGCTGTTGCGCCGCTAGCACGTCTCAACAAAAACACATTCCTCTGCTTTGCAGATTCCAAGTTGCACGCCAATCTCTAGCTGCCCAGCTGTCACCTAAGGCCCAAGCGTGCTCAATGCTGATCTCCGTTTGCTGGCCCTTGTATTAAAGTGGCAAGTCAGCGTCCACCCTGGAGGCTCGCAGGAGAGCGTTCAGGAACGCTGACAGTGTTGCATGACGGAACACCTGAATGATTTTCATAATTTTAATTTTGGTCCGGCCCACTTTCAAAGGGCAACCCTGACTCACGGCCGTATCGAGAAAACCTCTCGTAAAGCCATCGGAAGCATATTGAACAAATTGCTCGATACGGCCGGCCGGGTATCGATCAAATTGTTCGTTTTCTGGTAGCGCCTATTGGGAAAAAGTCTCGATTTTTGGAAAGCCCCGGGCACACACTAAAACAAAAAGTACTTGCCCGGTTGTCACTCGCAGTGGTGTAACCCTAAGGCGGGAATGGCCCGGTTGCCCCAGGTAGTTGCCCGGTTGTTCGCCGGTTGCCCGCGAGACCCTAATGTCACAGGGAGGGCCCGGTTGCTTCTCGGGTGCCACGGTCCCTAAACTACTAGTCTAGAGGGGAAGTGTCCAGTGTCCCCGGGGAGTTGCAGCCGCCCACCGCCCCGACCAACCACCCATAGGGGTACCGTCCTTTATGTACCGCGATCCTGACGGTTGTGTGGACCGATGTTGTGGGTCGCGGCGGTCACCTGGATCGACGGCGGAGATCGTCGGGACCGACCACTGAAAGTACCGGAGATCTAGGCGCCTCGGTCCAAAAATCGAGCAATTTGCTCGATATGGCATTCTCCGTATCGAGCAAATCCTCCAATACGGCCCTAGCGAATACGATAAATTTGTCCAATACGGATCTACGGACATCGAACGATTTGCTCGTAAAACCAAAATGGCTTTACGAGGGATTTTCTCGATACGGACCGTGAGTCTGGGTTGCAAAGGGATACCACGGGGATACCACTACAGAGTAGACCTCCACATTGTCATTGGTACTTCCCCTGAATTGAGGTTGCCTGCGTGCTGCACAGCGTACGGCAAGTACCGTACGACCCGGTACCGTGGGTAGGTATCAGTTTTAATTCGGCACTACCTAGCCCCTAGATGTATCTGAAGTCGTCATTTGTACGGTAATTAGAGCAGGAGTTAGGCCTAAACCTAGATTGAGTAGTCTCGGGTCCCCGGGCTGGATTGCAAACCTAAAGGTTTACCAGCCAACCTTATAAATCTGTCCCCCGGGAAAAGCTAACTCAACATACCTAGTCGTATAACTCCAATATAAAATCGGAACCACCGTGTATATTGCGGAAAAAGGTCGATACGCATTGGTATTTCAACCTACCGGTACTAGGTACCAGTACCTACATTATGTACCAATTCATGCAGTCTGACACTGACAGCTCCGACTTTGACTCTTGCGTTTCCCCCCTTTCTTTACCAACCAGTACCGTACCGAGTACCGGAAAACTGTACCGTAGTGGCACGACCCATTCGCACCAAGCAATTTCGAAAATTGTTTTGTTTTTCCTTTTCTGTCTGATTTCGCACCAAGATTTTGGGGGATATTTTTTTTTCGCACAAGGGCAAATTTACAGTGTTTCAGCCCATTTCTAGGCGATTCCAGGAGCTTCATTTGGGTAATTTACTTCCAGTTCGCTTTTTCGCAAGGTCGAAATAATTTTCGAATTTGTCCGCACCAAGGCCTTACAACTGATTTTTGGTGCGAAAGGGTCGTGCCACTACGGGTACCTGGAAGTTGGAACCTGGGTCTTCATGCTCCACGCAAGGATCGAGCGCAGTAAATGCTTACGGTAGGTATGTTGTCGCGTTCCTAACTGGTCGTAAAAGCATCGATAAGCTATACGCCACTTGCCCGTAGCAGGTGCTTCCGATGCACCGGGCTGATGCGCGTCATGTGTCATTCTTCCAGGACTCGTTCCGAATGCACTGGGTCGGTCCTTCAGGCCCTTGCCGAGCCCGGAGGCTGGCCCCTGATACTCCTGATAGGTACTGCGTTGACTGTTCACGGTATCTCCAGACTCCGACCGGAAGACAGTAGGTGGCCGGTTCGTTGTTGTTGCTGTGCTGTGTTGTGTGCCTAGTCCCGACGACAATACACTATTATCTTCACCAGGCAAATCGTGCTGACATCAGCTGTCCGACACCCCCAACAAAGTTAATGCATGTTCACATCCTACGAAAATGGTACGGTTCGGCATTAGATTGACAAATCTCCTTTCGGAAGACTATCCACTTTCAAGCGCACTGGGGCTACTAAGTCCTAGCTGCCCACTGCTTTGTATATTGGTATTGTTATTATTGTTATTGGAGTTGTCTCCTAGAGGGGTCTCTTTCCACGTTCAAATTTTCAACGACCCCAGCAACAAAGTGGATGTGGCTGTAAATCCAGTCATGGGCTAGTGTAAGCAATATCGACGTTTGCAATAGAGCTCGATGCAACGTTTCCATCACATGCATGGGCGAAGAGACACACAATTCATCATGTATGCCATGAAAAGCTTGGCCACTGCATGATTTGGCTAGCTTCGGCGGATGTGAAAAAGGAGGAGAAAAGGACCAATGCTGCAGAGCTACGGTCGCGCGGCCAGTTCAATATTGTTGTTTGCCGCTGCTTGATCATATGTTATTTTCTTCAATCCGAGCGCTAAAATACCATATTGGCTGTGTAATTTGCGAGCTGTAGTGTTCTGCAATGTACATATGTCACGCGGTCTAGCTTGGGTCGTTGTGGTAACATGTCGATAACATACTAGTCACGTCTTGGCGCACTTGGCTAAAAGAAAATTACATGGCATCTCATGTCACTCATATGCATCATACATATCATCTATGATCCCGTACATAAGAAGGTCAATGGATGGTGTTCCATAGCATATGCGCATATGCAAACCATTGACACTGTGAAAAGTTGATATGCCAGGGCCAGGCAAGAGGTGATGTACTCTATATGTTGTTGAACAGGCTGGAGATTGGCATGGGGACCCCAAATCAGGGCCACGTCAAAAAAATGTGCCGCCCCAGTGCTGCCTAACATGCATGCTGCGCAGCGCCGGGGGAAATGTAACTCCCCTTCAATGCTTTTCTATCGTATACTTATCAGTGGAAATAGAACCGCTAATGGCCATGCCGAATTTGGAAACTTTTGCCACAGTTACGCTGCAACGAACCAGATAGCCTGCTTTACAATCAAACATCATGCCGACAAGTAAAGTCTCCTGATGTTGTCAACTTCCATAGGCATCAACGTAACCGGACAACGTTCATACTGCAAACAGAAGGAGAGTATTTTTAGAAAGATCCATTTCCGCAGATACACTGTGCTTGCAAGGTCGCCTCCATTATACGTCATGCAAACCCAAAACTCGTCATCTTATAAAAGAAGAAGTTCATCCCCCATTTGTCTGTGCCAAACTCACTCGGAACACAAGAAGATATATTCACCCCAGGTTTTGAAATCATATGGTTCTAGCCACAGTAAACTTGCCTCCTTCCAGATTGGAAAAAGTGCGCCTTACCTGATTCACGTACTGGAATATACAAGGGTAGCAGAAAACAAAGCCCGAGAAAGCCGCCATAGCTGGGTTCGTCCGTGGCCGCTGGCATAACGGGCACAGGTGCTTATCGCGGGGGAGTGAAATGCCCCCCTCCGCGGCCTTCGGCGCCGGTGGGGCTGGAGGGGGGGGGAGGATCGTCGGCGTGTTGACCCGCTGCTCGGCTGACGTGTACCACCACTCGAGCATCTGTACATGACGGCAGACAGACAAGTCATGAGCAAAAGTATGATTTCAAGTCAAAGAGTATGAAAAAGTCGGCTTCGCTGACGCTGTGAGTGGAAAGAGGAGAGAGACTCAGCAAGGACGGCGCTGGGTGGGTTCGGCCTGCTCGCTGCCTGGCTGGCAAGTTTCAATTCTCTCTGCAAGAACGACATGTCCGCTGAGCTTCATTTGTAGTATTACGCCAAAGCCTTGTCGTTTCGATCCCGACCTTGAAAACATTCGACACCGTCAATGATCTTTAGAAGAAGCGGTTAAAGATCAAAAGCTTTGAAACACAGAACTTAGACCCGCAACTCCTCATTCCGCTGCAAGGGGTCCAGATCGGAGCACGCGTGGAGTTCCATCCGGTGACGGATTCTCCCTGGCCTCGGAACCATATATGGCTCTGTGAAAGCAGACTGCACTTTCTGTTAGGCAATCTCTCTTTCCTCGTTGGCAGTATTGCACATTCGGTGAAACCTGGCCGCCTGACCCGATAACCGATTGGGACCGATCGCAGAACGTGCCCGACGGGCAGAACGTGGACCCTTTGATGACGCAAAGTGACTCCATCGGACGGCTCAAGATCTGCGCCTACGCCTTCAGACATATTTTACGATCGGCTCTGACCGGACTGACTGGCTAGGCATAGCAGAACTTGGGCCTTGCGATGAAGGACTTCGGGGTCATCGAAGGGTCTAAGTTCTGCGCATCGGGCAGGTTCTGCGATCGGTCCTGATCGGTTCTCCGGTCAGGCGGCCAGATTTGACCGAACGTGCAGTACTACTTTGGCGTTAGTGCGGACGATCAGGAACAACCCCGCTGGACCTTGGAAGACAAAAACCTCGACTACTTCTACAGATTGGCTTGGCAGAGGCTATCGCTTCTTTCCTCTCGGCCCAAGTGAATAGTAGACCCGTGAAACGGAGCAGCAGAAACCGGAACATGACAAAAACAGCAGACGTCGCCTTGAAGCCGCCCAGTTCACCGTCTGATGTTCAAAGCATCGGCGGTGGAAAGGGCAGTCTCACCTTCGGCGCTCAATCCATCTCTGCCGCGATCAAGCAACCGGGAGGAACTTTGCGCTCCTCACGCTGCTTCTAAAATTACGTCAAAGCTTTAGAAGCGTGATTTCCTTCTGCAAAAGGAAACTAAGCGAGAAATAGGCCCTGTCACCTCACCTTGAACAGGAAGACCGACACTATGAGCCCGTTTCGTAACGAGTCCAAGAACGTGTACCCCGTTCGGAAGACGAAGCGCTGGAGCCACTGAAGAACCGCGGGGCCTCGTAACCGGCCGAACTCGCCCCGGCGCAGCTCTTCCGACCGTTTTGCGGCGGCAAGCTGCGGCGAAACGGGGCCCACGGTCAATACTTGGACTTTCTTGGTCAAGAGATTTTTGAGATGCCTCTAAATGGCGCTAACCGGTACTCCCGGCGATCGTAAACCGAGGGTTAGCAGCCACTGCTGTCGGAAACGGTCGGAAACTTCTCGAGACGGTCTTGAGTGCGGTCGAGGAGTGTCGGCAAGCGTCGTTAAAGGAAGAGATCGTTTGAAGTGCATATGATCATATAAGGAGAAAAGTGCGAGAAGCGACACTTTAACCAATTGCTTCTTTCTCTTCCCGTCCAGCTGACCGACGTAGCGAAGTTCTCAAAGTTCAAGATCTGTCACAAAAGCTAAAAGATCCAGATGACGTGACCCCTCTCAACATTTGACCTCACGAAAAGGACAAACTGTTCGTCCAAGCGGTTCTATTCATTTCGAATGAAAGGGAGACGACATCGCGCCCCTATCCAAGGAGACTCCCTGCTTCCTCCGGATTCCTGGAAACGCGTAAACGCGTTCACAACGTCAGGCACATCTTTTTCCAGTTCTTGCAAGACGAAACCTACAGCGGTTGTAGGTGGATCCGAAGAAACTTTACCGACCCCGCCCCATCGACCATCAAACCTTCGGATGGATGAACGCTAAAGCCCAACAACCAGGACGTCAAATGCGACTTACCAGCTCTTGCCCCGTCGATCGCCGCACGACAACGCCCGCCCCCCTCAGCATCGGCGAATAGTACCTTGTCACGTCCAGCAGGTACATAAGCTGGTACCCGAAGCATAGCCCCTCCACCGACGTATGTATAAGCGGGTAGGCCCTCGCCATCGCCTTTCCCAGCCGAACACGCCACCCCTGCCAGGTTTCGAGCGTAGCCGTTTCGGACGCTTCTATTTCGGAATCGAACGGGTCCTCGCCTAGAAGGGCGTCTGTGCTCCCGTCCCCGTTTGCGAAACCGTTGGCGTCGGCTTCGCCTCCTTGCCAGATTCCGCTCTGGAGGGTGCCCCTTCGGTCAGCGGAGTACGCCGCCCGAAACTTTGTGCGGAGGTAGGGAAGTCCGACCTGTTGGAAGGAAAGCGGTTGATCAAGACACACCGTTGAAGACTACCGGCCCATGAGTCAATCAAAATTTCGACGACCAATCCTTTCGGTAGTTCTGGCGGCGGACACCAACTTTGACGGTTTCTGTCAACAGCTTTCTGGTGACATCCAAAATCTTGGGCACTGTAACACCGTGGACTCCACGAAAAACTCCGCAACGCTGTCTAAGAGAGGATCATGTCAGCTTGCGCTGACCAACAGTGAGGCTTAACACTAATATCTATATCCTAGAATCAACTGCTTGCGTCATGCAGTCTTTGACGTGACAGGACGTGTGATGGATAAGCTCGTGCGCACATATACCGGGCGTCTTGGTTGCAAAGCGGCCTACATGAACGAACTTTCTGCTCACCTACGGTCCAGCATCAAGATGAAGCGGACGCATCGATTTGCTGTAAGTGAAAGAGTTGTTGACAAACATCACGCCTCTACTCTGTTGCGGAGTGCTGCTGTGGCAATAGATGAGTCCTCTACAAGTGTCGCAGACATTACACTTTGCGTGTGGCTTTAAGATCCTCTCTGGGCAGTTTCCACAGCTCACCAGGAAAAGTAACGAGAGAAGGCGCTGTTTCCGTCCAAGGCCAGAACTAGGGGGGGCGTTCCGTTGCTGGCCAGGTGGCAGCGCCTGGACGCGTGCAGGCGTTCTCCTCAACCCGTACAGAGCTTCCGCAAATGACGCGTCTGGCAACAAGGAATGAAGCAAAAATGTCTCCACTTTGCGGTGTGCTTGCCGATGGAACCATCGGAAAGAACACATCATGCAGCTGTCGGCTCCACAAACAGGTCCTTCACAGCGAGACTTTCAATTTCGTCCAAAGCGCCGAACTAACCCCTCTCTAGCATCTTGGACACATGTACTCAACATCCTTGCTTTACCAATCAAACTAACTTAGATGCTTTTATCAGTGGACTAGGAGCTCACCTTGCGTACGCAGGCTGTGGTACTCTAGAGCGAGCATCAGGACAGCAAACGCTTCGTCCGCATGGTCAAGAACCTTGTGCAAAGCCGGCTGGCGCTGAGCCAGGACCTGGGGTCAGGAATAGCTTGAATGAGCATCAGTGGCATCTGAAACATTCAAATCTACCCTTCAATCCTCCAATCGCAATCATGCTTTCTAGGGCTTTCACAACTAAACAAGATTGAGGGGTCAAAGGCACCAATCGACACCAGAAAGCAGTGGTATACGTTATGCCATCAGAGTCTGACAGTGTTTGTTAAGGCGTTGCATGGTTCATCACCGAAGGTATAACTTTCAGACTTCTTCATTCCATAGCAATTGAGATCAAGTGAGAAGCAGCCCTGCCAGTCTTTGCAAGCCAACACTTCAGAGCACTGAAGACGCCCTCAAACACTTCAATTGCAATGGGTGATATTCATCTCAAAACTATCGAGGAGGCTGCAAACGCTAGTGCCTTACTGCAAGCGAATACTGCATGGCGGTCCGCAGGCTCAGGGGCAGATGCTCGGTTGCCGACATCTCGAAGAATGTCGGGCGGCTGCCATCGCCGCCCACTTGAAAAAGCATGGCCTCTGCTCTGCTGAAATTGCTGCTTTTGCTCTGGCTGTAGCGCCGTCAAGAAAAGGGGGTAAGGACGGATCACCGTACGCCCTACATCCAGGAAAAGCGTGCACATACAAGCATCTACTGTCTAGGTAGGTATAGTACGGTATGTGATCCCTGAGGCGTTGCTGAGTTTAGGGTTAGGGTTTGAGCGACCATTATCAGGCAAAAGTTTCGAGTTGATCAGCAACAACAACATTTCTTTCGACGTTTCGTCTCAGATCCACATCCGTTCTACAGGCGCTCTATTGCAGTTCGAGTTTGCGTCAATGCTGGAAGGCGCTAAAGCGTGGCAAATGTCAGATGAAGCGGTCATTCTTAAACGTCTTGGTTAGCAGCGATAGTGACGCTGAAGTTGACTTGGAAGAGCTAACCACTGAGTTCACAAACATGTCGATCAGCGCGGCGCTTCAGGTGCTCAACGCGAACAGAGTCCTAGACTTCGGCAGTGATGAGTGGGGAAGGGCAGATGCACACGTTCCTCTTGTTTGGTACGATGAAGAGTGCGCCAGCAAGCCCAGATTTATGAGCATTAAGAAGGATCGTGTTGAAGGTGAGAAATTACACCATAGCAGCGGGATTGGCATCTAGTGTCGAAGTTTTGCTGAACATTTCTTGTCATCTGAGAGATATTTGGGGTGCTCTGCAGGGCTACTGCTTTTCGAAGGAACCTGTTCAAAAAAAAATTTGTTGGGTATGGACCCCCCTTTCCATAATCTGCTCGGTGCGTTTGTTTAGATGAAGCTGTAGCATTTACTCCGCAGCTGAAACTGCCTTGGACTATACACTCTTCTAGGGATTGTACTCTTTGGAATCCTGTCAGAATCTGTAAAGGGTCACAAACTACAATCATACCTGTTTGCAGCTCTCACTTTCGAGACGCTCAGCAAAATTGCGTGGATGAGCTGGGCAGATGTTAAGGACGAAGCGGAAGAACACTTTGGGGTAAGTTGCAAGCTGGACCATCGGCATTGGTCGTGCAGTGCGTTGCAAGCCCTATCTTGGACTTCTCTGTCTACTCTACTTGAGCACCTTCTTGTCAGCTTGCTTTTGTCAGTGTAAGTCTCATGCAACCTGAGCCTTCATTTTGTTACAAGAAACTGACTTCATTTGTGGACTTTGTTTTACAGAAAGATCAGTCGAAGGAACTGAAGCGGAGGAAGTGGTGGCTTTGCATTCCGTCACCACTTTCCCAGACTCCGCTACAGGCTTTTAAGCTGCTTGTGAGGGATGGGAAGCCAGAGCGGGTGAAGGTCGTACTGCGTGCTGCTGAACCGGTTGCACTAGATGACACACGGGCGTTTGCAGAGGAGTACCATGTGAGTTGTTCTGCGATCCTTTGACAACGGATTGTCAAGGGCATCTTTTGTATTTCTGGGCTAAGTGCAGGTGGAACTTGCAGCGATTGCGTCTTCTTTGCTGGAATGATCGCCAGTGTATCTTCAAGGGCCGAAGTGAGGTGGTGAGGAGGCGCCTCCCAGCGAGCTTCGTCTATTGCCTGCGTTCATTCAGTGGTTTGCAGCAGGTTCAGACCGTAAGTGCCTGAGAAACTTGAGCTTGTTCAGGGTCTATATTGCACTATATTGCACTGATTGATGGAAACCAAGAGGTGGAGAAAGAGTGAGCATACGATCTGCTCAGTCTTCTGCATTGATGATTCGCGCCGAGCATGAGCTGGAATGCCTCCTTGTTCATGCAATCTCTGGTTAATGTGCAGCTGGACGAGCTCCAGCAACTGATGCAAGAAGTGGAAAGAGAGAAAAAGCCCCGCGCAGGTCCCTCAACACCCTCAAGCGACAGCGCCCATGGCGAGAGAGAGGGCCAAGAGCCGCTCGTCGAGCTGGGCGAGAGTCTGCTGAGCAAGGAAGAGGAGGCCACGACAAGGGAAGCGATCGAGTCGGAGCTTGTGGAGGTTGACGAACCAGGTAAGATGCGTCAGCCGAGCAGATGCACAACTTTGGACACACTTAGCGTGAGACAGAGCCTTGAAAAGCGAACGTGGCTTTGCTCGTGCTAAGGCATTCTTCCCAAGGTAAACCCTCGGAGCCAGGGCATGTTTTGCTAATCCACAGGTTATCTGAGCTTGGTTTCAAGCTCTGATTGCGACTGAAAGGTGTTAATAAAGGCCTGTTGTTAAAATGGTCGCCTGCAGGCTTCTGCTTGCACAGTCTGGCAGAAAAGAGAAGCCAAAAAAAAACGACTCGGAAAAGCGATTGGAGTTCATCTAAACAGACTGCGCAACAAGGCGTTGTTGCGCCCTTGAGGAGAGCGCCTGTTACGCAGCATCCTTGTCTCATAGTCGTCCGCAGATGCGAAGGGCAGCCTCATAAGGATTTCAACTTCTCTGTTGCTCTGCAGGGTTTCCGCCGTTCCGCGTCAACATCATCTCAGCGACACCGCTTCAAAATACTGTCATTATGTTCCTGGAGGCGAACATTGACGTCCGCTGGCGAACAACCTCCGACCTCGCTCAGCTTTGTGCCAGACTCGGGATCGACTTCGCCAAGATGCCTCGGAAGTACGGCAGCATCGAGGCCGGAAAAGAGACAGCGCATTATGAGCCCGTAAAAAGGCACATGGAGGCGCAAGCGAAGCGCATTGGCCAGGTAGCTAGCAATTTGTCCCGTTCGCTTTTTCAGGGGGTTGGTTGAGTGATTATTCTGAAACGTTTCTTGAGATCGTCATTTTCAGCAGAGTCTTAGGGGGCCTTTCTATCTTCTGCAAGATAACTTGCCACAGGGACCTCAATCAGAAAAGAACTACACCTTCTTTTACATTTCTCTTGGATCTGCTTGGACTACCTTGGTCCGCCACGAAGTGTCTACGTTGCGCATTACAACCGCTGCGGAAAGCAGATTCCATCGATCAGTGAGGGATAGAGAGTCAGCTCATGCTGCCTCCAGAACCTTGAAAGCTCGCTGCTAACAAATGCACGAAGGGCACGGCTCTGAGCTGCTGAGCAGCGTTTGGTCAATCACCGATCTTCTTCGGATGATCCCTCAGCTTGCTGTAGCAGTCTGATGCAGCCCGGTACAACGTCTTGAACTGAGCGAAACTGGCCTTCACCATAGCTCGCTGGTCTTTGATATTATAATCGCCTCTACTGACGCAGATTAGAAGCTGATTAATGCTATATCGCATACCGTGGATCGCGTAACAATCGCTTGAAGGCAAAGCTGAAATCGCATTCACTTCGCAGGCGGCCTATGTGGCAATCGTTTCAGACAAGAGCCCGGCGACGCTGCTGAGCACGGCTGTCCGGACGAAGTCCTACATTACGTACAACGTGGGCTACCCCGACCTGGTTCTGTCAGCCGTGCCTCTGCAGAGCACCCGTCATGCGATGACGTCAGCCGTCGCGAAAGAGCTCAAGACCGAGGTCACGGGGAGAAACGTGGAGCAGGTTGGGTCGCAGGTGAGTGGGGAGTACTTAGAGACAAAACATTCTTGCAAGGCTCTTGTTTGCGGAGGAGGTCCTGTCAAGTTCGTTGCGCTTGCCGCCTCAGACGACACGCTCTAAAGTCTTTCAGTATTCCGCGAACAAGGCAAGGTCGGGTTTGTGTACACAAGCCGGCCAGATGGACTGCTCCAAATTGCGCGTTCGTCATCGTCTTGGCTGCCTTTGCTGCCGTCTAGCCAGGACGATGTTTCCTCGCTGAACCGGGCCCAGAATTTTGATGAAGGTTCCTTGCCGAGTTCTGCGCCTGGTCAAAATTCTGTTGACCACTTTTATGTGAACTGGTCCGCTAGCAAACCAAGGAAAGCTTCCCGCATCGGGAACGTCTCTGACGGTTGCAAACAAATCAGGATGCCTTCGTTCAACCAATTTTTCACATGCAGGTCTGCCTGCAGTACGTCGGGTTCTGCCCGAGGGCCGCGGCTCCGCCGCTCGCCACAGGTGGGGACCAACACAGTCCAAACCAGGTCGTCGCTATGGTCACTAAGCGGGGTGCACTCAGCGGCGGCGGACCCAAGTACGTGATGGACCTCTACAAGGACATCCCGGCGGAAATGTGCATGGCTCTAGAGATAGGCTGGGCGGCCAAGGCGAGGGACTTCGCAGCTGGGGATGTCAATGTCTTCCCGCTCGCGATCGTGGAGGGCTACCGGTATATGAAATCTGTCATGGTGGAAGGCTCGCGCTCGGTGCTGACAAAAGCATACAGAAAAGCCAAGGAGCTGATGGCACCCGAGTTGCTTGCCAACGAAGACCTCGCATCGGATGCAGTTTGGGACGGACTTTTTCCCGAGTAACATCTAGCCGACCCTCGTGGAGAAGGGAATGGACATCGGGCATATCGTAGAGACATCTTTTCGTATTGTGGCAGTTGTGACGCTCTAGTTTTACGAGTCTTTGCATGTGCCAAGACTCTTCGACTCTCAAAGACGATGAATTGGAATGTGGGCGAAGCTTCAGGCACTTATCCGGCCTTGTATGATGGACTGAGAGGCGGCCATTCGAGCGTGCTATAAGCATGTCAATGATGGTTGGTCATATGCGTGTGGAGGTGATCGAACGTGCTTGTATGCATGCATCCCACTCGTGCGGGCCGGGCGCGGTAGCGTTTGTCACTGCAAGTACTAGCTAATCATGAGCGGCACAACATGCCGTGCTTACCGATCCGCACATTAACAATTGTAGCTTACATACAAAATGTCAACGCGCACGCTTCAGTCGTTCGCTCACATGCATGCATGGACCGGCCGGTGGCGGCGGCGCGCCAAGATGGGTGTTATCGTAGGATCGTGACATATTTACGCTTTGGCCGGGTGCCAGCATGTGCGATACCAATTGCCATGCCAGGCAACATACACAAAAATTCTGACGTCGTCTGATTGACTTGACGTCCGTCTGAATCCTAAAGTGCGATTCAAAAACGACTTAAGGTCACTGGCCACTGGAGTATCAAGTAACCCCCAATGCTCCGATCAATTATCGCAAGGAAGAGGAGTAGTCTCGCTCGATCGAGTGTGACAAGTGTGAAAAGTAGGTACAGATTCTGCTACTCGAGCCCTATGAGCTGCTTCGATAAAGGCGACAACCGTCTTTATGCTGGAATCTATCCGGGACTGCATGCAGTCTATGACAGAGCGCGTGGCATGCCATGGTCTGAACAGCAGCCGAGATGATCGATCGGACGCAACATGTACAACACGACATCGCAACCCATCTACTTGCTGCCCCTTTTTTGCTCATCAACCGGCTCTTGTTTCACAGATCATCGACCCCTAGCCAAGAAGGAGGCCCACTGAGCCCGACTTGCCCACAATTAAGCCGTACTTTTGAGGCCAGTATTCACTAACATTACCAAAACCAATCTACCTGCGTCCTACAGACACCTTTGTGGCTTACACTGGTTCAGGACAATGCGGCGAGCTCGCCCTCGATCTAAGTAGCAACTTCAATGTTTTTCAATGAAACTCTAGCTTCCCGTGAGGGACATTGAGGGGCGCCAAGTGCGCCAGACAACATGGTCTTGCCCGTGGCCTCATGGGCGGCCTGGAGGGACAACGGAAGCAATTTTTAAAGAGACCGTAAGAAGATACCAGAACCTGAGGCAACAAGCAGATGACTGGTTGGCAAGGAACGACGAAAAGTCGGAGAGAGGCAGACGGGTCGGGGAAGACAGGGCTGAGGAAAACCATACGGACAGCCAATCAGTTCTTTTGAACGAAACAGTGCTAGGAGAGATGCTCCTAGCCCCTTGTCTGCCAAATCTCTCAGACATATTTGCAACTCAGTCCGTTACAATCAGCTAAGCCCTCAAGCGGACGACTTTGTTAAGAAACGGAGACATTCGCGAGTAGTTTTTCACGACGGATATTGCCGCGCAGGGCACGTAGTATGGAGATGCTGTTCGCCAACGAAGGCTTGCTCACCTTCATCTTCTTGTTGCCCGCTTGCTGCGCTTGGGGGCCTTGTTTATAGAGAGGTATGCCTCGGTAGGCTGCCCAGAGCGTTTGCCGTCGTTGCATCATCATTCGCGCCTCGTCCCTCATGTTACAGAGCACACCCCGCAACAGCGACGCCGAAGTCCAGCCAGGCAAGTGGTCTCCACGCGGAAACCCCGAGAAGTCGCCGTAGCGCACAGGGGAGGCATTGTAGGCCCAGCAGCTGGGGACGAAGCGGTGGCGGCCCAGGTGGAGAGGAATTGTCGAGCCTGATCAGTCAACGGGTCTTTATTTTTCAGAGGGCAAATACTTCTATCCCGAACGGTGGGCGACCTTACATTCAGTTGGTTATAAATTAGGCATGCCCTTTCTTTCATTCAACGCAAAAAGAGGTTAATACCCAACCCATCACACAACAAAAGGGAGTTTAGATCACATCCCACGCTTAAATTTGAACGGGGACCGGGTTCACCAAAGTTGACTTGGTGGGTCCAAATTTGCCGGCAGCGTGATGACGTTACCAATGTTTAGTATGTTGATCTTGATTTGCGGAAAGACGAGTGTTTTCTGTTTTGCACAGACATCACATCGTGGACCATCTGGTGAAGCACAACTGACTGCGACAATTGGTTCATCGCCGAAAATCAGACTTTGCCCTCTGTTCCGCTTGCGAACGCACTGATCGACCCGCCAAAACGAGAGCGGATATTGTGCGGCGACCAGGCAGCGCTCAGGGCAAACGGGAACTTCAATTTAAGCTTTGAGAACTGATGGCGAGCAAGAAGACAAACCTTTCGGTGGCGGTAAATGAACCTTTTAGTGGTGCCCACAACAAGGAGATAACAAAAGTTACACGTTCAGGCATGCCTCCGGGAAGGGCTAGCAGCTGTTATCGAGCATATGACCACAGGCAAACCGTGGCAACGCTCTCAATACCAACCAGATAAGAGATGGCCTCGAGGCTGCATTCAACCAGTCTCGACCCCTGTCTTGAACCAACAAGCGGCTCCAGCGACCGGCCTTGAGGCTTGCCTGGCTTGTTTGATGATGGGGAACTCAGTGAGTCCTCTTCCGAGTCAAGAGGCAGCGGACTCGTTCATGTCCAGAAAAGGGGACAAGGGCAGGAGCTAACGTCTTCTAAAATCATCTTTCCCGTCCTGGGAAGGAACTCATCTAGAGAAATCAATTCGTGTCCTTGAAGAGAAACGGTCTTGGTCACATCATGTTCCAGTGCCTAACAATTAAGAGTGGCAATTCAGCATTCTGCGTTTATCTTCTGTCTCAAGACAGGAGAACTCAGGGAACTGGACTAGCACAGAAGCAAGCATAAACATGAGCAGGCAAGCACATTAAGGGCGCAACTTAACGGTGCAGAGTATGCTGAGTCGAGAGAAAGCACATGCAGACCTGATTAAACTGGGGGCCCACTCATGCTCCTGCCGGGCTGCAAGGACCTGGAGGAAGTCAGAACGGTAAGAGGGGGTGGGCCGCAGGGCAATAAGGACCCCCTGCTCCACTGGAACCAAACGCCGGGTCTCATTTGGCCGCGAGAGTGAGGAACGAGCGGTGGTCGAACGGCCTATCGAAGCGGGGGGGCAAAATCTTGTCAAATTGGCCCCAGGGGGGGGAGCGTCTTGGGCAGAACTCTCTGGAAGCGGGCCGAACTGGCTCGCCCATGTTTTCTGGCAAAGGGGTCCGTCAAATGGAAAGGGGAGAATCCCACAAGGAATTCGCGGCTAGGTGTGAGGAGCACAATGGGGGGCGACAGGTGGGGAAGGGGGCACGGGCCCATCACGGATCCTGGACTACCCCCTCGGAAGAAAGGTGATTCAGAAAGGGGGGCAACGAACAATTTACCATGCTGTCAGAGGGGGAGATCCCAAGGCTGCCTTGTCTTTCCATACAGTGGAAGAGGGGGGGCTAGACTTGGAAAGGAACGGGGCGCTGTCTTTGGGGAGTGGCGTCCCGCCATGGTCCAAGGGCCCTTCCTTGGAAATCCATGGCCTTAGGGGGCAGGCGGGCGGGAAGGTCACCAAGATGACTGTGTGCAGGGAGCGAACCAGTTGTTGAATCAGATGGCTAAACCATCAGAGACACTAAAAGCTGAACACGAGCGAGAATACGCTGGAGAGCTCAATGCGCTTCGTGTTAATTATTGAGGCTGACATCCAGATCATCATGCAGTTGGTTCAATTCCAATGGAAGTTGGTTGTGGAGACGTGGTAGAGACAGGCTCAGTCAGCTGTATGAGCGCATATTTAAGCTGGAATCTGCTTATGCGCTCCTTGCTGGTGTAGCTCTTCAAAAGAAAACATTCGCTTTTGCCAAGCCCCGCTGACACTTCCTCTCAAGCAGAAGCCTTGGATGTTGTTTATGCGGTCAAAATAATGAGTCTCCAGCACCACAAACATTTAAAAGACATGTACTCAATCCTTCAATTTGGCATGTGAGGATTACTCAATGTATATGCTGGGATGCTTGAACTGATATTTCATCTTAAGTTTGCAGGCTGTGACACTCCAGCGCAAGCATCAGGAGATAGAAAGCGTCGTCCGCATGGTCCAGAATCTTGTGCAAAGTCGTCTGGCGCTGAGCCAAGACCTGGAGTCAGTGATGGATTCAGTCAGCATTTTCGCTTCTATCACATTGGATGATCCCCCTCAATTTGCTACTTTGATTGACAATGTCGTAGACGGTCAACAAATCAGTCAGAAAGAGCAAACGATGATCACCAGCGAAGGGATTCATGCTGCTATCAGGATCTACGATTAAGGGACCCTGGAGGCGTTGCACGATTCATGACTACGGGCATAGCTTTCAGCAAATACTCATTTTCACATAGGGCGATCAATGTATGCGACCAACTTGCGTAGAAAAAGTTTGATTAGCCATTGTATTGTTTCTGTCAAGATTTAGAAAGCTTCTGATGATTCTCGGACAACATTGCTGCACGAGTTGGGTGGCATTCTATCTCAATCTGTGCACAACAATGGCATTCTACCATTTTCTTAATTGGCCCACAAATCGTAGCTACAAAAAAAAAGCAGAAAAAAGCATGCCAACATACGGCATTGGGGACACTCCCAAATCAAGCATCAAAGGTGGTGCTTGACTCAAATCTAAGACAAGATTCATCAAGAAAGTCTTACACATTACGCAGCGGTGCCTCTCCGCCAGGGAGTATTGCATGGCCTCAGCTTCGCACAAGAGATGCAATTAGATCTCCTTTCATGGAATCTGAACGCTCTTTTTAATGGTACGCCCTGGCTACGTCTGCACAACCTTCCTGAACAACTGTGGCGGCAGCTTCTGAAAATGCTTGCCCCAACATTCTTCCTGCAGCCAAAGGAAAAAAAAAAAAG